TTAAGCGCAAGAAATTGATAAAAACAGTCCTCAGACTTTATACAAGACTATTTGCGGTAACATTGTGCCCTTGAGGTAAATCGGGCACGTTATATTTGAGGACAGTGGACTCTACTCTTGAAGAGTAATAAACATTTCAGCCTTGTTATAAACTATGTCATATTATGTTTATTAGTCAATACTTGAAGAAAGACTATAATGGACTTCAGAATACATGTATTCATTTCAGTATTGAACTGAGACTATTGCTGAAAGATTTTTTTTTGTTTTTTTTTGTTCGAACGATATTCATACGTAATTTCTTACATGTTTTTTCCTAAGAGCAGGAGTTAAATATTTGACCACTACAAATGAGAATCATTTGTCATGATAACATGTTATTTGGTCAATGCATGAGCATACAAATATGTAGTGTCTAGTTCAAGTTGAAACTGTAAAGAACCGAATTGTGTTGATATTTGATGCATAGACCCAAAAGAGGATATTTGATATGAAGGGGATAGTTGAACTAAAGTTTTGTATACCGGAAGTAAATTGACAATTTACTCAAGATTGCGAATGATGAGAAAGTTTAATCACAGAAGCACCATTTTCTGAATTTGAAAATCATTTTTTGTGTGTAACCCTGTTGTACTATAGTGGTGGGCTACTGAATTTTGCTTGAAAACTCACAAAAAAGGGGGTTTAGTTTCAAGAATCGAGTACTGAAATACACAGTTCTGAGTAGTTAGCAGCTCTAGTGCATAGAGGTACATGTAGAATCATTATGTTTGAGCTGATATATTTCGTATTTTCCTTTGGTAATTCACTAGATAACTCAAAGTGTGTAAGGAATGTCAAGGACTTTAACAATCCTTGTTATTGTTATTTGCTACAGAGTGTCAACAATTGTGTTGAGATTTAGTTAATGTGTACTCTATTAAGGCAACTGATCGTTTTGCCCAATGTTACTTTAATTGACCTGTCGGTATACATTTTTAGACGACAAGTGTTTGTTGTGTATAGGCTATAAATTCACCCTAAAGGCATTTACTGTAATGTACTACATTGTGTAAATGAAATTAATGGAATGTGCTATGCAGAGTTGAGTGTAAATTCTGAATGTTTAGTTGTGTTTTATTAACAGAAAAGTTAGACAATTTGAATGGAAGTTGAAGTTATTTGGATAAATGCTTTGCTGTGGCTACGCATTTAAGGGGCCGGGATGTAAGATTTAGAAAGTTTTCTGTCATGACGTCGGTTCAGATTAACCATAATTTCATTTGGTCGTAAGAGGGCGTTTGTAGTTCGCCAGCCTAAAAGTCACGAAATTTGAAATGTTTTGTGGACAGTGATTCCATCAGTAATCCCCGACAATCGAGACAAGCCCAATGTTGTAAGTACTATAAAGCTGTTATTTGTATAAATCAATCTTTAATTGTTTGTATGAGGCCAAAAATGGCACAAGATATAAATCTAGTTTTCTGTAATTTTAAGATGAAAAGTACGTTAAAATGTTGTCTGTGCATGTAGCACCACATATAGACAAACGTAGGATAACGTGTGTGAATGCACAATTTGTGCATATATCAGTTTGTGTTGAGGATAATCTAGATTTGTGTGTAATGAGTGATGATAATTGACATGAAACAAAGAGTATGAATTGTTTTCCTTGGTTATAAAGAATGTCAAGGGTGTAGAAGCAAATAGGAATTTAGTTCAGGAACCAAGTAAAGAGTGTAAGATAGAGGCAGGAAATAAAGCTGGTCGAGGGTTTATTTGCGTATGACGTTAACCTACAAGATAGAGAGGTATGATTTGTAAGGGTTATATTTGTAAACAAAGGTAGAATTTGAGACAGTTCATTAGAATAAGATAAATGAGGCAGTTATACAGTTTGTGTTTGCACAAGTGAGCTTTACTCACATAGTTTATTCTTGAAGGTTTTCTTTACTCAGTTATGCATATTAAGGTCATTTATGGCAAGCTAGATGTGCGATACAATAGATGTTTGTTTATTCATGTGAATTTGTACACATGCTTATGATTGCTTGTTTGTTTATTGATATTACAGATGAACTGCATTTTATGCACGTATCTCAACTTGGATGTCGTCGTCCTTTCTTTAAGCCTACTGTTGGGGTCACTTCAGCAGAATTTAACGTCACAAAGAAGAAGAATGAAGAGGAGAATAAGAGAGATTTAGGAAGAGAAAGTAAAGATAATTTAAGGAGGATAAAGTCGGAGAGCAGAGAGAGAAGGAAGGAAGTGAGGAAGAGAGAGAAAGAGAGAGAGAGAGAGAGAGAGAGAGAGAGGGGGGGGGGGGGGGGGGGAGGGAGATGATAGAAAAATGAAAGAGGCGGGAAACATGTTAAAATCAGTTATGAATTAACGTCAGTTTCTGTAAATAAGTCTTGTCCAGAATTACTTAGGTTCCTTGAGATGTGCATTGCAACACGGAACTGGTGATGTCTGTCATTGATGTCATACTGTTAATATGTTAATGTGTGCAAAAGTGTGGTAGAACAGTTAATGTAGCAAAAGGTAATACACATCACAGTTAGCCTAAATCAACATAACATCGCTAAAACACAATTTTCCTGTTTTAACTCAGAAGGATGCAGTTTATTGCATTTACAACCAAAAAAAGATCAATATACACTCCAGTTTCCTACTCTTTTGCTTTCTCTCTTGCTAACAGTCTCGTACATGTATGACATGAAAGAAAGGCAACACACATATTGTATAGTTTATAATGCAGAATACATTCCTGCATTTTAATGTCATTTTGAACAAGATCTTGTCAGCTGAGAGCCAGAAGGGCATTATTATTTATTAAAATACATTATGAGTTAACACCCTTCTCGCTCTCAAAGGAGGATATACACAGTTCGCTATAGAAAAAAGTATAGAGTTCTGCTCGGAGTACAAGAAAAAATACAATTGTCCTACTTATTAATATAGCTGTGGGACTACACGAATATAGGTGTTGTTTTTTACCTTATTTCTTGTATATTTATGTGAGGTTCACTATATACATGTATGGACAGTGATCAAGCCTATGTGAATCTGTATGTGAGAGGAATGCTACAAGTTAGCCTTAGGATAAACAGCCTCTAATAACAGGGGAAGATTTTATCAAGCAAACATAGAAGATTGACTAAGTGAACACATCCTTCTATTCAAAGCACATTTGGAATAATTAACCATCTTATTACTAGCCCCTTCACTAATATAATTTCATTTCAAATGTACTCAAAATGATTAATATGTCTACCCTTAATGCCTCAGTCACACCTTTGTGTATTTGGCTTGCATATTGCTTTGTAAATTTTATGGCAAGACGTTTTAACATTTATTCCTATTTCTTGATATCAAGAAATGATTTTCTGTTGGAAAGCAAAGGTAATTCTAGATATCAAGAAATAGGAATAAATGTTAAAATGGCTTGCCATAAATATGCAGCAATACGCAAGCCAAATACGCAAAGGTGTGACTGAGGATTTAGAACTACAGATTGCAATGATTCATGCATGAACAAGAGAGGGCCCCTTAGGTACAGTAGAAAAGGAATTCCCCTTTCCCTTGTATCATCGATGCTTTATTGCGCACATGTAATGCAACTGTTCTAATCATTACCATGAGATGACAAACATTCATTCATACACAATTTGAAAGTTGATTTCCACAATTGTACTGTCACACATATCTGTAAGGCACGCTAGATAATGATAGATATTGAATATACCAGTAAAGAAAATATACATCTTCTAGTTTTGAATAGCTCATATTTTTCATATTACATATGAACAATGTCTCTATTGCTTCCAAAATTGCTTTGAAAATCACTGTACCAGCTTTTGCTGAGCTTCTGTGATAACCAAGAAGAGAACCACTTCCTGTTTACTCCACCTAAACCTGGGTGCAGAGAGGCAAATGTGGATTAATGTCGTGTCTGAATGACATTAGTGCAAAGAAATTAAAATTGTGAGAATATGACCTTTCCTATACATTCCATAATAGATTAATTCATGTAAGACTATGTCTGGTTAATGAAATAATATGAATAATTCATTAATTTTCAAGACACAAAATTGTCTGATTTAACAGAATTTCACAAAGCCAAAGCTGCCCATTACAAAGCAGACAAAGACTGCTTTTTCATATCATTTTTTGTTCCTTCTATGATCTGCACAATAGCACACAGAATTGTGTTGTTAGAATGTTAGCCACATGCATAACATACATTTATGTGCATATTTTTTATTAGTCACACACACATATCAAAGTAATTAAATATCATTTTGTGTAAGTAGCCCTGTAAACTACGAGAAAAAAGTTTCCAGTAATGATTAAAGATAACCTTGAGTTCTTGTAAAAAAAATATTTTAACAAAATTCTCACAGAATCAAACGAAACTTACACTGTATGTTCAAGATTACACATAAATGTCATTTGCTGAACAATTTTGGTAGAAAATGTATACTGGCTGAGTAATGAGCATAGAAAGATAAGGAAATTAAGGTGAGTAGCCCCAACATCATTTGTGTAGTCCCATATACATCTTTCTGTGTAAAGTGCCTGTTACTTTACCAAGACTTTATCTTAAACCCTTGGACTACTGAATTCTCTCAGACCTATAGAGAAGCCTGTCAGTTCCAGGAGCCAATTGGGTTAATATTTGGTTAAGAAAAACCTTCATGTTTGATCATAGAAAGCAACTTTGTATTCCCTGCTCTTTCAATGAGACGGTTGTACCGAACGTGTGCATGCTGAATGAACTAATGTACTATGACTAGATTGACACGTCAAGAGTTACCGGTACTTAAAGTGTATGACTTGGTAACATTGTCTCAGATTCTGAAACAAAATCCTGGATGTACCTCATGCTGCAATCATAAGAATAAACTTTTAGGTCAATCAGGAATCCAATTACTTTTACAAGCCGATCGCCCGTCTGATTATCAAGATATTTATGATTGGAAATCAAAATTTCATTTTTTGTTTTCCTAACGGTTTTTATTACACTACAGTCTATTGGGGAAAATGAGTATGGTTAAACCGGGTCACTCAAAAGATTTTTAATTTTTGAGGCACTTTTCTTAGGTCTTCAATATTATAACATATCACAGACACTGATAACATGTAGGGCCAAGCATCTCAGATTTAACATTGTTAAACAATGCCTTTAAACAAAATTGTCTTTCTTAAGGACGATACTGTATTGGAGGTTGTCGATCACCAGATGGAGAGGGATGTATACACAAGTTTGAATATACTTTAAGTCACAGTTTATTCCTGTGGATATTGACAAGATTTAGAACAACTTGATAGCCTCTCTTCAACACGATACCCTGGTTGTATTCTTATCAAGGTCAACTATGTCCAATTTGAGCAGCTTGAGTAAAGCACGGTATTGAGTGATCACGCTTCTGTGTCTCTATGAGGCTCGTCCAAGCTGTCCAAGGTCACTTTGAGAAATCAAAAGCGGTTGCATATAACACATAACACCATGAAGAAATATGAGAGGGATTTAAATACAATGTATCCTCGGAATCTGTACTCCCCCTGGAAATTGTCAAGATTTAGTACAAATTGTCTTCTTTGACATGATACCATGGTTGATGGTGGTCGTCGATCACCATTTTCAGGAGGATTTATACAAGAGATTGAATATACTTTATCATCACAAAGTACTACCCCTATGAAACCTGTCAAGATCTAGTACAACATAATTGTCTTCTTTGACACGATACTGTAGTCGATGGTGGTCGTTGATCACCAGCATGGGTTACCAAACCTCTTGATGAGACCGTCTTGATCAGCAAGGTCCTTCTGTACTTTCTTACGCATGTAGAAGATGGGACAGTCACGACTGTGAGAGGTAAAAGAACACAAAATCATTTCTCAATCATACTTAAAATGTAAATTATGTCATAAATCAGGCAATACAGGTCATACTCAAAGAATAATTAATAAATGGGATAACTGACAACGCTTCATCATCATCAATCATCATTTTGTCTACAGTTAACAACTAAATTATTCATAACCCTCGTAATTTTGATGTTTTTTCTTCTTCCGTATCTCAAGAATGAAAGGTGAACTTGCTGAATCAGATCCTTTGTTGAATACTTTAAGATGAAAGCTTTGATTTTGTCACATTCTCAAGAAACATAAATCGGTTCAAATAAATTTTCACATACATAAAAACTTACCAAATTTGGTAAGGGTATAAATAATTTAATAACTGTATAAACTTCAAATTATAAATACAATCATAGTCAGATTAGCATTTGTGCACATAAGTAAAAGGGCTTTAATGTTGGTTTTTACACATAGTATGTAAATAAAAATGTAAAAGTCCCAAACTGTTATGTTTAAAACATTAAATCATATTCCCTTGCAGTGTAAGAATACTCTTTGGAATATAGGAATTGGGTGCCACAGGTAAGGTCTTACTATGAACTATATAGGAAAATAAAACTTCTTACAATTCTTAAAGAGCAGGGGCGTACGCAGGATTTTTTCGAGGGGGGGGGGGGGGGTTTAAAATTTGAAAATCACGTTGAAAATTTTGCAACGACTCAGCCAGCCGCTGAATAAGCGAGTGGGGGGGGGGGGGGGGGGGTGTAAGAGCAAATTTTTTTTTGTCCAGAAAATTTGGCCGACCCTCCCCCCCCCCCCCCCCCCTGCATACGCACCTGGCTTGTCCACAGTCAAACATAAAATAATCCTGTTCATTTTTTAATCAAGAATTTTATTGACAGGAACAAGTGAGCATCATAACACTTATATCAATGAAATTCACATGACTTTAATGATGAAACATATATCTACACAACTTTGAAAATGCAATATAACTGAATTCTATTTGTGGGCAGGTCCAAGCTATTTGGATTGTGACGTACGGGACATTTAGAGACTTTAAACAAGAAATAACAACAGATGAAATTATTTATATGGCTACAGGGTCCCGTACGTCACGCAGCACATTAATTACATTTTAAATTAATTAAAAAATTGGTCAGAACTAAAACTTTCTACGAATGAACTAGCCCATAATAGCCACAGACTCATACCAAAAGATAGCCATATAAATAATTTCATCTGTTGTTATTTCTTGTTTAAAGTCTCTAAATGTCCCGTACGTCACAATCCAAATAGCTTGGACCTGCCCTTGTATGAAGTTTTGAATTCTTATTTATATCATGTTAAAGTACCGATAACCTCAATTTTGTAACCTTGATTTTTTTTTTAAACACGCTTTTGAATTAGAACTGAATAAAGAACATGAAATGAAAAAACAACAATTGTCCAAGAAAGATATAATTGTTGCCAATTTGATCTACAAATGTCAATGATACGTTAACAAAGATCACACAGAGAGATAATAGCCCTTACCTGGTACATAGGATGTCTTCATGGAGACTGCCCTGGCATCGTTGACACTGGGTCCAGAGACGTCCAAACTTCTCCTCTAAAGCGGCTAGCTGGCTGATCTATGAACAGGACAGTATAGAAAGATAGAATGAATCCGACTGAGGACGTGAACCATATAAAGCCTGTGTTCCCTGTGGCGATGTAGAGTTGCCAATTTGAGGGTCTACTCATAAAAAATGCACTCCCCCTGGTTTGGATGCTGCAGCAGTTTTGATGTGTAACTGCCTGGTTTCAACCTCAATTATTAAAATAATTGTAAAACTTTTGAGGGTAAGTCCACTCTGATATTATCTGGATTTTTAATTAAAGCAGAAATATGTGAAACTTGTGAAAGTTTGAGCAATATCTGATTAAAAATAGGCAAGTTATGAATTTTTGAAGTTGTCATCAGTGTTTTCACCCAAACTTTCAGATTATCTTTAATTGTACATCTTTCATTGAGGTCACTACCTTGGCACTGTTTTCTCTCATCTGAACAATGTTACCAAGTCCCTTTAAAGCCCCACTGTTCTACTTGTAGCTACTTGCTCCCTCTATATAGAAAACAATGCCTAATCAGGGACCATGCATTGGTCCCCCATGATCCTCTTTGTCTTATGTTAATTGAGAGTTGAGTTGATTAGATAGCCATCTGTCATTGACCACGCTGTGTGGTCTAATCCCTCCCGGCCAAACTAGAACAGCCAGCCTTTAAGATCACAGTGAACCTGCAAGAAATCTTACCTCTTTCTGGTAGATGGACGATTCGTTGGGTTTGCAGAACTTGCAGAGAGCGACCCCATCCTTGTCCATCCCCATCTTACATCCCAGGCACTTGCTCCTCACCTTTGCGAACGCCATGAGACCGCCGATCTTGGAGGTTACCTGTGTCTTAGCTCGGGTGTGGTCCCCCTCTGTAAAGATCGGGTGATAATGAAAGATTAAATAATGGTCCAGGATATAAATGGTGGATCTCCAAAATAATCATCATTATTTCAACGTCACTATTGCTATCATCATCATCATTATTATCATCATCATCATCATCATCATCCTCATCATCATCCTCATCATCATCCTCATCATCGTCATCACCATCACCACCTCTGTAAAGGTTGGATGATAATGAGAGAGAGAAGGTAATGCAAAGTTTTGGTATGGGGTCATGAATTTGGTTATAGTGAAAGCATATGCGATTTTACAATATTCAATTGGCGAACGCCATGAGACCACCAATCTTGGAGGTTACCTGTGTCTTAGCTCGGGTGTGGTCCCCCTCTGTATTAGAAGATTGGATAGATATGAGAGAGATTAAAGAGTGTAATGATCGTGGATATAAATGTTGGATCTCCATAACCATTACCGTTACTACATCGTCACCATTACTATCATCATCATCATTGTCACCGTCATCACCGTCATAATCAACATCATTATCGCCATCATCATTTTCATTACCAGCACCATCATCATCATAACCATTATAGAAAGGTTTTATTGAACAAATTCCATTGGCGCTGTCTTACAACTGAATTGCCATTGGAATATAATTGAAAAGTATGTGTATTTACAAGTTAAAAGTACAATAGTCTTAGAACTATGACATAATATATATTAAAAATATCATATTAAAACTCTATATCAAAATTAAATGAGTATGGAAATAAAGAGGGGATGAATGAGGAATAGGAGCAAGGAGCAAGAATCAACAAAAGGTGAGAAAAGAATTGCCACCATCATCACCATCATCATCAACATCACCACCACCACCATCATCATCATCATCACCACCACCATCATTATCATCATCACCGCCACCACCACCATCACCACCACCACCACCACCACCGCCACCGCCACCACCACCACCTACCCCACTACCACCATCACCACCACCAACACCACCACCATCATCATCACCACCACCATCATCACCACCACCAACACCACCACCACCACCACCACCATCATCATCACCACCACCACCATCATAACCACCACCACCACCACCACCACCACCACCACCACCACCACCGCCACCATCACCACCATCATCATCTATTGATGAACTCACTCAGTAACACTTGTTCTACTTTGTTTTCCCCTACGACAGGCTCGAAGATCCGAAGCAGAGGCCCTTTCAGCTGATTCTCCAGGTAGTACGTGGTGTCAATTGGAATGTTGTTCTCAAGTACATAGATGGGATCCTTAGATGGATGAAAAAAAACAATATGATTTTGAACTCTCTAGTTACAGAAACCCATAGAAGTTGATGATGATGCATTCCATGGTATTTCATCACAATATCAGATATATCTAGACTTAATGGCCTGAAATCACAAAGGAGGTTTAAATTTAACCATTTAACCCATAGTTTTAACCCTCATTTACCTAATTAGCGCAAAATAAGCATGAAACAGTCAGATGTCCAATATTAGACGCGCGCAAGGCAAGCTCATTCTGCGCTAAATTTTAAACCATGGGTTATATTTATGAGGGTTTAAACCATGGGTTAAGCTAAACCTCCTTTGTGAATTTGGGCCAGTGGTGCTGGTTTTAACTCATTTTATATTCATAAAATATATAAGAGCATGTAGCAGAGAGAGTCAAATATTCTGTCTGTCTAATTGCAGATGAAATGCTGCAATCTTAATTCTAATTTTCAATTGTAAAAATATGCCTTGAATTAATTTACTCTTCAAGGCAATACAACACAATATTACCTTTCCATAAATAATATGAAATGTCAAGAAAAGGGTAGAATTTAATTCCATTTCTGTAACATCATCAAAGATAGTCCCTGCCATCTTGCAAGTCTTCTCCCTGTTTGGCCTGCGCTATACCTTACTCTGGACAAACACCCCCTCCCCTGGACAACTCCACCTTTGGATGAATATCCCCTGGACAAAAGTCCCTTACAAGCTTAAATGTAGTAAGACCCTTTTGAAGACTTGTGAAAACTCCATTAAATTTGGCAAGTATTTAAAATAGATTCTTCAGACATCGTGTGTACAATTTTACAATTATAGGTTCTGAAACTTTTTTTATAAGAAAGGAAAATCCAGGCTGCTTTCATACAGCTGCAGAGAGAGTTATTCTTAAAACAACAAATATAATAGGCTAACTCATTTTGGATTATATACAAATATTTCTTGAGTTTAGCAGATAAATATCAATAAGAAAATTATTTAAAAAAATAAAAATAAAAGTAAGTTACAATTTTTTTTCTTTTGGTGGGAGGTTCATAATAATAGACCTTTTAGATATACCACTGGATTCACGAAACTTCAGATTCTTAGACATGCAACAGGGACAAACCATCTTTGAAGCATGTGGTTATACAGAAATCTATTTATCCTAGAAATTAATTTCCACTTTGTCTACGGTGACATGTACCTCTGACTTTTCATATGCTGCAGCTCCTTTTGCCTTTGCGATGATGACGTAAGGAACACGGTCTCCTAGGGTTGGGGCACTTCCTGGGTCCCTCTTCTTCATCCTGTTTAAAAGCAAGCACATTTCATACTGGTCAAATAAATGCATTCATAATTTGACCCTACCGCTGGATGTTCACAGTTTATTGGTTTCAAAGCTACAATGGACTATTGGACTTTCCAGTTCTTGACTCAGATGCCAACCTCTTAACCCCGACTGAGTATCTCCAAAAATCAGATTTTGGAGAGAAAAATCAGATTTTCACGAAAACTTGACACTACCACTGGCCTGTCGGCCCCAGGTAAAAAGTTAGCTCTTTCATAAAAATTTGAGAAAATTGTAAAGCAAAGTTTTTGTTGGGGCTGCAGGGTTTTACTTGTTCATGTTTCAATGCGATTCCGCTGTTTTTATGGGTTTAAAAAAAGTTTGAGTACTGCCGCTGCACCAATGTTCTATGGCAAGACATTGATTTACATTTGCCACACTCAACCCAGGTGATGTAAATGGGTACCTGGCTAGAAATAATTCCTTGGAATGCTAGAGCGCCCTCACCACCTTCATCACTACCATCGCCACAACCACCACCACCCACACCACCACCACCACCGCCATCATCACCACCATCCTTCTCCTCCTCCTGATCTCCATCATCATGGTCACCACAACCATCACCACCACCACCACCATCATCATCATCATCACCACCATCACCACCACCATCATCATCATCATCATCATCATAGTCACCACCACTACCACCAGCACCACCACCACCAGCACCACCTCCACCACCACCACCACCACCACCACCACCACCACCACCACTACCACCACCACCCCCATCATCACAACCACCACCACCATCATCACCACCACCACCACCACCCCCATCATCACCACCACCACCACCACCACCTCCATCACCACTCGCCACCACCATCACCATCATCATCACCAGCATACCTTGCGGCTAGTTCAACATGAGCCTGTCTTCCAGCGTACTCCTCCCCTGTCTTAGTCAGCTCCTTGGTGATCACAAGCTGTGAGATGTCGATGCGGTTACATAGGAGATCAGAGATCGTCTGCTTGGTGTGGTCCAACGCTCCCGTCGGATCTCTACGAGAAAAAGTTAAAATAATTGATAAATTAAAAGCTCTTTTAAAGGGATTGGGTAACTTTGCCTCAGATTATGAAAAAAATCCTGGATTTAGCTCATGCCGCAATCATAATTATAAACCTTTAGGTCATACATGAATCCCATCACTTTACAAGCCAATCGCCTGTCTGTTTATCAAGATATCTATGATTGAAATTATACATTTCTGAATTTGTTTTCCTAACGGTTTCTATAACACTACAGTTATTTGGGAAAAACAGTCACTCAAAGATTTTTCTTTTTAGAGGCCCTTTATGATCATTTTGAATCGCAATTTTTTTAGGGCTTCAATATTACACCATATCACAGACACTGATTACATGTAGGGCCATGCATCTCAGATTTAACATTGTTAAACGTGCCTTTAAACTTGCCATGTCTGCTTAGCACAGAAAGGTGTGGCTGTAACCAAATACTTATTTTAAAGGTAGTCTCAGACCTTTGAAAACTATTCCCTGTCTTTCTCTATATCCGTCTGTCTCTGTCTCTCCATCTCTGTCTCTCTCCGTCTCTTTCTCTCTCTCTTACTCTCTCTACGACTCTTTATAGCTGGAAGCATGTACAGTCCATAAACTTAATGGTCGGTGTATAATAAAACCAAAGAGGATTAAAACCACGACCTCTGACCTTTCAATGAGGATCTTCTGAAGGACGTTATTCAAGACGTTGGACACGAGAGGGCAGCTGTCTCTGCGGACCGTCTCGATTCCCTTGCAGTCCATCTTGTCGTAGGTGTCTGGTTTGGTGAAGTAGAGACCTGCATAGCGCTTCTTGTTAATCAGTAGGTACGGAAAGTAGACCTGAAGAACAATAATTAATAATGATGGTGATAACATTGTGGTTTTGAGGATACATCACCGACTACACATCACAAGGTACAGGGTTCATTCTTATTTAGGGGTGATAGTGAGCACTCCAAAAAAAACACGCCCCCCTTGAGTAAAAAAAAAAAGAGAGGAATCGGGGGGGGGGGGGGGAGGCATACAACAACATTTTGAGTAAGAAAATTGGGGAAAAATTGGGGAAAATCAAGAAAATAAAGGAAAAATCTGGAGAAAAAAAAGGGGACAATTTTTTTCTTCTCCAAAATCAGGAAACCCATTCAAATTGGGTAATTATCAAGTCTGCTTATTGTGCAATCTATCTATCCGAGGCACGCAAGGAAAAATATAGATGATGCAAGAGTTTGAATTACTGTCATACTCCCATGCATTGCTATATAAAAAAAAAATTACTTTAAAAATGTTTTCACTTGGATTTGAAACCTTCTAATGGTGTTGTAGCTCTCAACCTAAAAAGTCATCCGTTTCATAGAAAGAATTACCATGTGCTTTGTAGATTTCCAAAAATTGAGTTTCATTGAAGAAGTTATAATGAAGTACTGTATGCTATACCCAAGGTGAGCTACAAATAGAAGGGAAAAAGTATACCGGTAGTCAAACCTGTCTACAGTGACCACCTGTCTACAAAGACCACATTTGTTGTTTCCCTTGGGTGGTCGCTATAGACAGGTTTGCCTGTATTAACAGGTTCATACGATCATGTTAATGGACATAAAAAGAAAATAAAAGGAGTCAAATTATCTGAAGAAAATAATAACAGCGGCAGAGAATGTTTACCTTTTCAAACTCTAGTTTGATGGGCGGTGGGAACTCGTCTGAGATCCATGCGGCAGCCTCTTTACCTAGCTCCATACTCTCTGCTACGGTCTTGACACCAAACTTCACCATTACCGAGTCAGTGTCTCCATAGATAACCTGTCAAGTCAAATCATATATCATTGTTTATTGTCCATGTATATGGAGTAATCTCATTTACAACATAATTACAATAACAATTTTCCGCTTTTATATAGCGCTTAATACATCAATGATATCTCTAAATGCTTAACAGATATATTATTACCCCGGTCATCAGATTCAAGCTTGCTCGTAAACAATGTATGCACATTCTCCACACCCTGGGGAGCATTCCAGTCAGGTGTAATTGTACAGAAGCTCACAATGCTGAGCAAACTACATTAACTTTCGCATCCTACCAGGTATCAATCAGATATGATTATTTACGTCTGAGGACCGACCTTTAAACGTCACCATCCGAAAGACGCGAATCAGTTTCAAACCGAGGTTACCAGAGCTGACCAAGTGAAACTGCCGCTGGACCAACTCACATCTACCTACCTTTGAAGTAGTCTTGTACCCGTTCTCCACTGTGTATCTAGTCTCCACCAGCTGTCTCGTCTTATCGATCATCATCCTCCCGAAGGCCGTCGTGCTCTGCGAGATCTCCAGACATGGCAGCTTGCCGACCTGCGCTCCGGTGAAACCGTAGACGGAGTTGGCGCTGACCTTGAGCGCCAACTGACGGCCATCCAACACTCTCTTGCGCAGTGGGTCGGTTTCTTTCTTCAGATCAGCCTTGGCTCTGTAAATAAGAAACATATCAAGGCGATGTTTCATTAACTCTTTCTTAGATTAATATCTTGCCAAAGGACATTAGTGGCTTGGCGGTACTGGAACCACAGACCATGTAATTCACAGTCCAGTGACGTATCCACTCGACTACGACACCTCTACATAGATAGGCCAATAGACCAAAGGAAAAATTACATCACACCGAACTGCTACAATTTCAATTTGTCTTTTACTTTGCTGTCATTCAGTTTGATGTCATTCCATTTGATGTTATTCAGTTTGATGTCATTCAGTTTGATGTCATTCGGTTTGATGTCATTTAGTTTGGTGTCATTCAGTTTGGCGTCATTCAGTTTGATGTCATTCAGTTTGATGTCATTCAATTTGGTGTCATTCAGTTGGATGTCATTCAGTTTGATGTCATTCAGTTTGGTGTCATTCAGTTTGATATCATTCAGTTTGATGTCATTCAGTTTGGTGTCATTCAGCAGTTTGATGTCATTCAGGTTGGTGTCATTCAGTTTGATGTCATTCAGTTTGGTGTCATTCAGTTGTAATGGCGGTGGCAGCTCAGCTATTGGCAGCTCAGCTATTAGAAGCCAAGATAATATATTTGGAGCTCTGCATATTCTTTCCACATTGTGCTCTCCTCACAATAATGACATAATCCTTACCTTTTTCTAGCTGTCAGTAGGTCTTCAAGAATCTCTGGCAGGATGCCTCGCCTTATCGACTTCTTGACGAAGTAGTTCCCTGTTGGCGTCTTGATGTACTGATCAGGTGCAAGGCTGTAACAGAAAAAAAATAACATTACAAAATAAATCAAAAGAGTTTAATTCTTTGCATGCTTTGAGTGATAAATGGAACAAGCAATGGATTACCAAATTCAACAATGTGTACACACTCTAAACAATGTGATAATCTGGGGTTTCAGTCCATGGCAATAAATTCAAAAGTCAAGGGAAGCAAGGTAGCAATGAAAGAAAGAACCTTATGGATTATGTCCCCTTAAAAAAAATAAACCCTACTAATTAATCAATCAATAAACAAAACTAGAAACAAAACAACTAATAGCAGATCAATCACCTATTGCCCAAAAAATTATTCAACTGCCAATCAAGAAACCAGCCAAAACATACATATTCATCCATCCATAGAAAATGATTTTGTCATTTCATTGATGTATGAGAAATAAATGTTTGTCTTAAGACATTAATTTGATTAGGATATCAAATGTAAAAGAAATCCATCCTCCTCATATCAATCTATCAATCAATCAATCTGTTAATCAATCAATCAGTCCATCAATCAATCAATCAATATGTCAATCAATCAATCTGTCAATCAATCAATCTGTCAATCAATCAATCAGTCCATCAATCAATCAATAATATATATACTTATTTCTCTTTCAAAGATGGTGATAAGAGTGTTGTATAGAGAGCAATCAATCAATCCATTAGTCAATTAATCAATCCATTAATCATCCATCAATCCATTAATCAATCAATCAATCCATTAATCATCCATCAATCCATTAATCAATCCATTAATCAATCAATCAATCCATTAGTCAATTAATCAATCCATTAATCATCCATCAATCCATTAATCAATCAATCAATCCATTAATCAATTAATCAATCCATTAATCATCCATCAATCCATTAATCAATCCATTAATCAATCAATCAATCCATTAGTCAATTAATCAATCCATTAATCATCCATCAATCCATTAATCAATCCATTAATCATCCAATCAATCAATCCATTAGTCAATTAATCAATCCATTATTCAACCAATCAATCAATCCATTAATCAATTAATCAATCCATTAATCATCCATCAATCCATTAATCAATCAATCAATCCATTAGTCAATTAATCAATCCATTAATCATCCATCAATACATTAATCAATCCATTAATCATCCATCAATACATTAATCAATTAATCAATCCATTAATCATCCATCAATCCATTAATCAATCCATTAATCATTTAATCATTTCATTAACTCTTTGCCCGCCACGTACACAATCCCCCCTGTGCCACATTGTTTTTAGGGTGCCACCTTAGGAGGGGTTCTGCATGGACTATGCTTATTCAACTCGCAATAACTTTTGATTGGTGTACTGTAATGAAAAACTTTGTGTAGCAATATTGTATAGAAATCAATAGTCTTGCCAATGGTATCATTTTTGTAATGTATATTATCATAAATTTTGAGATTATCAACTATACATTTTGTATCCAAGTTTTCGTTTAGTATCTAATACTTTGTTATGGAGGTTTATGTCCTGAGTTAGTTCATTGAAAAGATGTATTCATGAGCTTTCACTACATACCAAATTCATGTGTTGAAGGTCACAATGAGCCTGGTAATTTAGGATTGAATAAAGAGTAAGCCGACAATGAACTAATCTCCTATTGAAATTGACCCTGGGTACTTTTGAATAGACTTCCTGTCTCTTGATTGTACTTTGATGACCTTTATTGTGTCTGTAGGTAAGATGGTGTAACATTCTACTTGCAAGGCTGTGCAAGCTATTAGAATTGAAAGAAATGAATAGAAGAACTTATTGATTTTCTACACTAATAAGGCAAGCCATGAACATAATGTATGCTTGAAACATGTACTAAGTTATGAATTATAGAAAGCTGATGTATAATAAATAAGAATAAAATATATTCGTCTACATATGTAGTCTCATATTGACATGTTCATTATAACAAGAGGTAGACAGAGAGAGGGAGAGAGAAAGAAAGAGAATAAGAACGAAGAGACAGGCAGATTGGGAAAGAAATAAGAAGAGACAGGGAGAGATAGAGAGAGAGAGAGAGAAAGAAAGAGATATAATAGTGGGGTAGCTTAGTGAAAAAATCGTGACACGGTGGACAAAAGCATGATTTTTTCACCAAATTATCTTCACGATGTACCTTCTTAAAAAAGGCTATGCTCCAAGAAAATTGATGCTGGAAAGGTGGTGAAAATGACGTCATTATGACATCATCATTTATTCATTACATAATCACAGGAAAACCCCAAAAATAAAGCAACCGTGGTCCTACTTCTATAGTTTTGAAGCAAAAAAGAAATGAAACTTGGTGTATGTGATGACATTGAGGGGTAGATGTGCGAGACATGTTTTTTTGTGTTTGTCGGACAAAGCGTTGCCATGGTAACCACAATTTTACCAAACCTTATAGTGCAAATTACTTCCACAGAATTTAAGCAATTAATGTCAAATTTGGTATCTATAACGATCTATGAGTGTGGTTATAAAAAACACCCTTTGTGACTGTGCGCCACCTAGCGTTGCCATGGTAACCAGATATTTTTGCAAAACTCTTGCTGAGCGAACTACTTCCACAATATTGAAGCAATTGAAATCACATTTAGTGTTCATGACGGCACTGGGGTATAGATGTGCAAGACATACTCTTTTTGTTTTTCGGACAAAGCATTTCCATGGAAACTGTACTCGGATAAAGCGTTGTCCTGGTAAACACATATTTTTGCATTAACATGAAGCATTTAAGCTATTATGATCAAATTTGGTGTGTACGATGATCTATATGTGTAGTTGTGCAAAATGCCCTTTGCGTTTGCACCGGACAAAGCATTGTCATGGTAACCACAAACTTTTTGTAAAAATCTTGTTGAGCGAATTACTTAACTCAAAAAGAACTATGGTTTTTTTTACACACACACACACACACAACACATATACACAAATAATTTTTAACCCAAGTTACATTCTTTATGATCACATGAGTTGGATATACTGGATTAGGGGTATTAATCACCTTCAGTGATATTTCTAGTTTGCTCTGTTTTTAAATCTTCTTGGCATCAGAACTGATGGGTCATTACTATTATGGTACCACTTGGACTACATGTTATATATGGTCATTTTCACGGTAAAGGGTGTAACTTTTCTCAAACAGGGTCAAAATTTCAAAATATGTTTTCATAATCATTTTTACTAAATTATGGATTTTTTTTGGTTCTGGAGCTTAAACTACATGAGAAACCTGGACAAATAATGAAAAACTGTGACAAATATGATAAATTTGAACAAAAACAACATTTTAATTCTATCAACTTAAATGACAACATTTGTTCTCCAAACATAATTCAATTGCGATTTTTCATTTGCTATTCTAATGTACTTGAAGGCTTATAAAGCTTTTTTGGTCAAACTTATTTGGTCTTTAAAAAAATTCAATGCGTTTGTCAAATTCAAGACAAAATATGAATTTGACATTTAATTTGTCAAATTTACCTATCTTCCAAGAGGGGGAGCAAAATAAAAATTATTCTACAAATACCATTCAGTGAGGGCTAACTACAATGCAAATTCCAAAGAAATCGCATTTCAAATGAGGAAGTTGAAAATTTCATATGTGTGTGTTTCGGAGGCTTCAGGTTAACAATCTTGCCTGTTTTGGAGGCTTCAATTATGTTAACATAAAATTTTGTCCATTACTTAGGTAACATATTAAGAAAAATTCAACTTAAACTGTTAATGATATGTTAAATTACTAATATAACACCTAAAACATTTGTTTACAGAGTAAAAATACTTGTTAATATACAGTACGGTACATGTATGTTACAAATTATCTTTACTTAATACAATGAGCTTTTTGTTCAGTACGCAAACATTGCAAAGTCACTTAATAGAATCCATGAGGATTTCAAATCTGTGCTGATCTGGGCTGAAATATATTGTCCAGTATGTAATTTCAAGGGAAACCACTTTTCTCATATCAAAGTTGAAACATTCAGGGAACATTTACATGTATAGGATTAGTTCAAAGTAGTGTTTCGGAGACTTCACACATGTTAACACACTATATTGTCAACTACAAAGGCAATATACAAGGCAAAATTTAAACTTACTTTTGAAGTTTTGATAAAATGTTGAACTGAAAGTAAAGTACTTAAAATAATTGTTCACATAGAAACCATTTATGTTAATTCATAGCAATGTATCATTACCCTTCACTTGCGTCTTTGTCATCATTTATTCTTAGTGCAAAGAATTACATTTCTGCACAGTGGCTTCCACGAACTTGTTTGGTTTGTGTTATAACATTTACCCAGACATTCATATATTTGAAACCAATAGCATGGTAAGCATTTACAGGTTTTTGTCCTAGAACACAATTGTGTTCAACTTCTTATTTCAAAGAAATTTATCTGCCAACATGTCCAGTTCTCATTCTTAAAAATTATAAGCTAGGTAAGCTATGTCGGCTGGGGTCATGGTTAGTAGAGTCATCTTCTGTATTACATCTTTTTAGGCTGATGGGCTTCACAGTCCTCTGTAAATTCATACAGACCATTGCTGTTCCGGCGCATGAATTTGACTTTGACATTATCATCAATCACAGCTTTTACCTAGTAGCAAAATAAGAATATAGCAAATACAAACTTTCATTAAAACACAGAAAAAAAATAGCTTTCAGAATCCATTTCACTTCCTTGAAATATCTCACAGTCCGTTATTTTATTTTATTCACCCTGTTAACTTTGTTTAGTACCACAACACCTGCTCATATACATTTTAGAAAAATCTTTTTGTCTAAGTATTTCTCAAATAAAGAAAGTTGATCCTGTTAAATATTTTCTTAATAATCCGAGATCTAACATGGGTAATACTTACAAGAGCCATGAAAACCACCCCATTTGTAGTCCTGCTGCTAGATGAAGGTGCATCAAAATATATGGCCACATAATCGCTCACATTGATCCTGTAATTGGAGAAGAAAATAGGAAATTAGCGGTTTGTACTGGACAGAACAATGTTAATACATATATCTGAGCTTGGACACTAAAAACAATCATTTTTTTAAATTATTTTAGAAGTACATCTTGAATGCATATTTGCATGTGCATTACATAATATGTTATTATTTATCCATGTGTTGTTTAAGAAATAGTTCAGTAGTCTATATGGGCACCATCACTAAGGATGCTTTTATTGTACATTACACAAATCTTTAAGTACTAATTAATGACAGACTTGTTTTAATCTGTTCAAAATTGTAATATGTACAAGGATTCCATTCATTTTTACTGGTTTACCACTGTGCATAGCCATAGACCTGTACATGTATATGTACACCCATGTATATCAGGAGTCTAATTTAAACATCAGTACTGAGGCAAACCTTATGGGGTCAGGTGACATCCAAATATAAGTTGGTTTATGTTTATGTGCAGGGCTGCATACAACTCATAATTTGTTATAAATATATTTCATAGATTTTTAAATATTTTACAATAATTTGCTCAGACCTGCTAAGCTCCACCCTAAATAAATGCTCCAGATTTCATTCTTCTATCTGTTAATCATTAGTGAGCTAACAAGAGAAATTGTTATGTAACTTTCTCCAACTCAGCACATGCACACAAATACCTCCATGTTACTTTTCTTTTCCTGGTAATGCTACACCACTTCTGACATAGCAACTCATATGTTGGTATTTTATGGTATATTGTAAACAGGTGATCAGCTCTGGTTTAGCAATTATACATACAGATGTACATGTACCACTGTCTCTTGTTAGCTCACTAATGATTTACAGATGATGTCACAAGATGAATGAGATTTGGAGCATTTTTCTAGGCTGCACATCAACAGGAATCAAACTATATTTGGATGTCACCCGATCTTTAAAACCACAAACATTGATTATGATAAAGGTACATGTACAATGTACAATACAGATCGTAACTAGGCGTCACTATATTTTTAGTGACAAATCTAAACTTTAAAAACTTTCACACACCAGTTCCATTACAATAACCCATTAAAAAAAGTACAAGTTAAGTAATTTAAGGACAAAATATACAGTTCTTACCTCTATATTCTTGTGGATAACGGTAAGGAAATGAGAGAACTGTCTGCAGTGTTCATGCCTGTCTGGAAGAGATGCTATCTAGTATCAGATGTTGCTAGCACATGTTGCTGTAACCTTGTCAATATCTTAATGGTCTATTGTCGTGGACAAGATCCGCAGTTCGAGTCCTGCTGCGGCACTAATATCCTTTGGCAAGACATTTATCTACATTTGCCACACTCGACCCAGGTGAGGTAAAACTGGGTACCTGGCAGGAATTAATTCCTTGAAATGCTTAAGCGCTGTAATGGAAGCCATGCTAAAGCCGGGGTTATAATTTCCAAATTTGGAAGCGCAAAGAGACGTTCAATATGTGCTACACAAGAACCGAATGTTATTATTATTATTCCATTGTCTTAAAGGTACTATGTCCCTTTTGCAGCCAACCTCAAATTCTGTGGAACTTTGCATGAATTATGAATATGTCATGTATGTCCTATCTGTGAAATTTAAACGTTAGCAGTGTCCTCATATTCAAATTATGCAAGGAAACCCGTTCACTTGCTAGACTTCACTGTCAGACACTATTGAGTGACTGACTGGCTTTTTTTCTTCTTTGGTAATAACATACATGAAAAGAGTTGTAAAGGGTACATGAGCATTTGTCTACATCAATAACCCACTTCTTGTGATGGCCAAGATTAAACTGATTGAATCTTTGCGCAGCATAAAACGTATGACCATTCGGTACAATTGTCTGAAAATCAAGACTATTACTTTTGGGCTCTATAGCCCTAAAGTCGATTTGACAACTAATAGTCATTATTTTCTCACTTGAAGACATTTTCAAGCCCCACCTTTTTTAGGGAAGTTCTAAATAAGTATTATCTTTCAAATGATTTTGTCATGTCATGTCATGATTTTGTTCGTGATGTATCATTCTATAATGGATCTTTAATAGAGCTTAAATGAAAATATTGTAAGCAACTAAGTATGAATTACTATATCAGGAAAAAGCTTCCCACCAAACAAATGACATTTGAATAAATGAAAACCGCTTGTGTTCTCCCTAGAATGGTGTGACGTGTTTTGTTGAAAGACAGAGCAATTTCATGCTGAAGGCAAGCAAAAGCTAAGTTTGAGGACAAGCAAGGTTATTCATACAGATTTTAGGCAATTGCTTTTATGCTTGATCTTATGCTTGAAGTTGAACCAATGCTTACAAGCAGTTGCTACCTTTTATGTATACGGCCCAATGTACAGTATAAACTTCTTAGAATCAATAAAACATGAACCCGTAACTATACCAGTGTAGATAAATATGCTTGGTCCCCATTTACAGAGACATTCAGAGAGGCATCGGTCCAATTCTGATGTAAAGGCATAAACTTAAAAACCGCATTGCAGTAATGAATTTTCACCCAACTTTAAATTACCCAGGTCTGGCCTATGTGTAAAGTTATGCGGGCTTAAAGTTGATTGGTACACACTTCATCAAATTAGCTCTGATATATGACCATAACACACCCTAATACACCTATAATAATGCACACAAACACTCACTCGAATTAGATTTTGACCAACCTATGCCCCGTTCAAAGTTGTTAAGGTGTGTCTGGTGGTATAGACTAGCAGAGTATGGCACAATTCTACTTATCTTCCCCTTTGTTTTCAAAGTACAATTCATCTTGGAAGAGAAATGAATAGCACCAATTTCATGAAAGGTGATGCAAAGAAAAGAAAAATTATTTCTGACTAGTACTAAAAATCAGTTTTGTTCATCGTCTCTTGAAATTTTATTTTACTTCCTTTCCAACCCTTCATATATTTCATAACACAAATTTGCATGGGTGGGACTGACTCTTGGTTTGTTCTTAGCAAGTGTACATATCATCATTGAAATTACAATATGCCTAAATAGTTAAGAAGATGTTTATTACAGTAAAAACTGATTTACTTACGTTTGTAATGAGGGAAATGTCTGAAATAAATCAACTGGATCCGGAGAAGGATGAAAATAGCTTTCTCTGCAATCCCATTGCTTTCTAATTCTCTGAAACTACAGCTTGCAGTACAAACTCTTGACCAATCAGAAGCCAGCATTCATGGGAGTCAGGGGAATTCCCTGTTATGCTAGTCTATGAATGCAGACACATTGTCACACAGGTGGGACTTTTGAAATTATGTAAATTAAGGCTACTTACTCATGATTCGTGTCAGCAGATTTTTTGGAGCATAGCCTAATTTTGATCCTCATACATATACAAATGTCTGGTGAAAAAATTATGCTTTTGTCCGGCCTGTCATGATCAAAGGTATATTTGTCACTAAGCTACCCCACTATAAGCAGATACAGAAAATGAGAGTGAGAAGATAGAGATAGAGGGGGAGGGGAAGAAGAAAGAGACAGGCAGATAGGGATATAAATAAGAAGAGACACGGAGAGAGAAAGACAGATAGGCAGACAGAGAAAGACAGAGGCAGGTTGAGATAATGAGAGTGAGAACAAGATAGAGAGGCAGAGAGAGGGGAGGAAGAAAGAGACAGGCAGATAGGGAGAGAAATAACAAGAGACAGGGAGAGATAGAGAGAGAGAGAGAGAGAAAGAAAGAGATAAGCAGATACAGAAAGTGAGAGTGAGAAGATAGAGATAGAGGGGGAGGGGAAGAAGAAAGAGATAGGCAGATAGGGATATAAATAAGAAGAGACACGGAGAGAGAAAGACAGATAGGCAGACAGAGAAAGAAAGGCAGAAAGAGAAAGTGAGGATGAGAAGATACAGAGGGGCAGAGAGAAATAAGAAACAAGGAGAGTCTTATCCACTCCTCAGGCTCATCCTCTGCTGAAACCATCGACACATCATCCCTAATTTCCTCTTCAAACTCGCTGTCTGAATCGTGATTGATGTCCACGCCATTATCATGTTCTGTGGGATTACGCAAAAGTGTACGTGTGGGACCAGGCTCATCTTCCTCGTCAGAGTCAGTCTCGCTCTCCTCTGAATCAGAGTCGGCTGTTGGAACAGGGTCCATCACAAGTTCTCGTACCTGATCAGCAGTGAAGAAGTCCCGTCTCCTCCTAATAGGGGCCATCCTAGCTCATCAGAATATTTGCAAAAGCAGTTTCAAAAACTCAATTTTTCTCGGAAAATGTCAATGTAAACAATGTCTGCGAAAGCGGTGCAATGAAGTGTGATGTGTATACAATGCGAAGCACGCGTTACTATTGTGTGTGTGTGAGTACAATAGAATTAAATGCGTTCCGTGTGTATTGTGAATGAAATGTGACTTGAGTCGAAGTTGGCAGCCCGCTCTATGTTCCGCTAGCCGAACGTGGCGGGCAAAGAGTTAATCATCCATCAATCCATTAATCAATCAATCAATCAATCAATCAATCAATCCATTAATCATCCATCAATCCATTAATCATCCATCAATCCATTAATCAATCCATTAATCAATTAATCAATCCATTAATCATCCATCAATCCATTAATCATCCATCAATCCATTAATCAATCCATTAATCAATTAATCAATCCATTAATCATCCATCAATCCATTAATCATCCATCAATCCATTAATCAATCCATTAATCATCCAATCAATCAATCCATTAGTCAATTAATCAATCCATTAATCATCCATCAATCCATCAATCAATCAATCAATCCATTATTCAACCAATCAATCAATCCATTAATCAATTAATCAATCCATTAATCATCCATCAATCCATTAATCAATCAATCAATCCATTATTCAACCAATCAATCAATCCATTAGTCAATCAACCAATCAATCCATTAGTCAACCACCCAATCAATCAATCAATCAATCAATCAATCCATAAGATATATACTTACTTCTCTTTCATAGACGGTGATAAGAGCGTTGTATAGCAGAGGTTATGTGCCTGCATGATGGATGGGTATAGGGAAGAGAAATCCAGCGTAGCGATGGGACAGTCATAGTACCTGTAGAAGATCAAATAGTAAAATAAAAGAGCTTGCATTAAACTTGAAATCGAAACAATATAACATGGTTTAATACCTTGCAAAAAAATAATCTGCAAAACAAAACCTAATACAAGAAAAGAACCATGAAAACAGTTTTTAACAGTTTTAATTAATCAATCAACTCATATCAATGTAATTTAAAATCTCTTCTCCCTCTCCTTCTAGATTCTTACACCTCTGCCTTAATATCATTGTTTTTCTTTCTCTCCTTTATGTCTCATCTCTCCCTTTCTGTCTCTCCCTTCCTCTCTCTCTCTCTCTCTCTCTCTCTCACTCTATGTGCTTCTCTCCTTTTGTGGCTACAATATTTGTATAGATCTGTGAGAAATTTTGTTTTTGTGATTTGACTTTGTAAACTCCATGCAATGCAGCCCTTGGCTTGCCATTCAGATTTTTCAAATTAATACCATTTCAATTCAATTTAAAAGAAAACACACACATCAAGATATTTTTTTTCAATATAGAGCTACCCAGTGGTTTTCTGCAAGCCTGAAAAGGGAGAAAAATATAAATGTGAGCTCAATAAAAAACGTCTCAAACAAAGAAGTGACAAGGCACGATATGAGGCAACAGGCTGTGAAATACCATCCTTGTTTGGAAATGAAACTTTAGGACATAAATGCAATAGAAAGGGACATTTTGTAATGAGACTGCATGATCAGTTACAGATCGACCTATCGTTTTATTTTTATTTTTATTTGTTTCCTTCAAGGACACCTTCTTACCCTCTGATTGGATCCAAGACGTAACCTCCGACAAAGTCATCTCCCGTCTCTACTTTGTGGGCAGGCATCACCAGGTCCTGTTCCTTAGCCTGTAAACAATACACAAAGCGGAGTTTGTGGGACAATATAAATAACCCAATCAGGACACAAAACAGAGTTTGTGGGACAATATAAATGACCCAAATCAGGACACTGAAAGGAGTTTGTGGGACTATATGAAGATGACAAGCAGGACACATAGTAGACAGCAAGGGACTGCTGAACTACAGAGAAAGAAGGTAAATCAATAATCAATGACTATTAATTTGAATTTACTGCAAGATGTATTTTCGTGTTGTTTTTTTCCTCCCTTCTTGTGACTTTTAAAAGCATGTAACCAGCAAAAAGTCAGGGTACTGTTATGTATTAAAAAAAAAACCTGTTTCAATCCTTTTCTGATCGTTTAAATCATGTGTAACACTTCTAGTTTACTCATGTATAATAACATGCACATCATGTCAAACTCCAATTCTGCTTTAAATATCACTATCTTACCTTTCTTAGAAGCTGTGAGACAACCTTGATCTGCTGCCCTCTGGAGAGCAGATAGGTGAGAGGCACGCCCGTCACCCTCGCCATCTCCATGTAGTTGATGACGGACATGAGCTTGTCAAGGAGACGCAGAGGCAGCATGGCATCTTTCAAACAGTAGACGGCCAATCGCCTTCTCGTCTGTTCATTGCCATTCTAAAGAGTAGAGATGACATGGGTTCGTAGGTCAAAGGTTATACATGATAATTACATGTTGTGATTGATAGCAAGTGCAAATAAGTTGCAATTAATATCAACTTTTTATAAGACAGGCCAAGGTTGCCTTTTTACAAAGGTGGTCGCTCAAGCAAGTTTGAATGTATTTTCAAAAAGTTTACAGGGATGCTTTTATTATCTAAACAAAATTAGAAAGTACACTGAATGAGCATTATCAAAGCTAAAATATTGTAGAGGTGTTGTGGTTTAGGAGATAAGTCCCCCGACTGCAGATCACAAGGTACAGGGTTCAAATCCCAGCCTTGCACCAACGTCCTTTGGCAAGACGTTAACCCACATTTGACGTCATAGGCCACTCTCTACCCAGGTGTTAAACGGGTGCCTGGTAGGATGCGAAAGTTACTGTAGTTTGCCCAGCATTGTGAGCGTCTGTAAAATGGCGCCTGGCTAGAAGGCTCCCCAGGGAGTGGAGAATGTTCAAACATTGTGTGCAGGCAAGCCTGAATCCCATGACCGGGGTAATACTATATATGTAAAGTGCTTAGAGACATCGTTGATATATGAAGTGCTATATAAATGCGGAATATTATGATTTTATCATTCTCTACAGAAGTTTGAGCTTTACCTGAAGGTCTGTGATGATGGAATGTTGAACGTCTTCTTTCTGCTCTTGGAGGAAGTGGTAACTGACGGCGTTTAGACGATATGACCTCAGCTTGTAATCCCTCACAACCACCTGAGATGGGATGATGCACCAGTCTTCATTAAGTTTCAACTTTTTACAAAATTTACACACCAATTCAACTTTATAATTTTTTGAATGTTATTGAAATAATATTATGTACATGTAACTCCTTCAGTCGAAATTTTTATAATGATTTGCTTGTTGTAAAAAATAATGTATGATGTCATCCGTGATTTGTATCTGAATAAAGATTTTATAAAAAGAAAAACAACAAAACTTTATAATTTCAATAAAAGTGGTCATTCTGACCAATCTATGAACCCGTTTGTGAGTTTTGGCACTAATATGTACGAATACTACAAAGTTTCCTAAAAATATACACAAGTTAAATGAGCAAAAATGAGCAAAATTAATTACAGTAGTTTTTCACTGTAACATTTTTCATGCAGTACAGATTGCATTATCTCTAAAATCACAATTATTGAATGACAAACATTAATTTCTACAAAAAGGTACACCATTTTCATTACTAGTAAACAAAATCTTCCCTTCTAAAGAAAGAAAATCTAGAAGAATTTGTCAGAAGAATATAACAGTTGAATATAAAGTCGAGTTCTGGTCATGCGATTGCATTGTGAAAGAAATGTTGTGAAATCGATCAGAAAAGGTTGATCATCTAGCATATAAGTATTGGTGGGTAAGAAATTTGGCACAGTCTTGGTAAAGTTACAAGCACTGTCACAGAAAGATGTATATTGGACTACACAAACATGTGGCATAAAAATCTATCCTGATTTCTATGGTGTTACACATGCCATATGTAGAATATTAAGGCATTTGAAGAGCCATGCTTTTCAGGGAATATTTTTTATCAGATGTTCTTCCACACTTGCATAATACAATGAAAATGCTCACAAATTATTTTCACCTCTTCCCAGAACTCAACCTTCTCTTTAAAAGCCCAAATTAAAAGTTGCCAATTTGATCATGCATACCTGAAGAAGATCAAACTGCACACGACCTTCCATGTTGACGGACTTGTTCTCTCGCTTGCCGAGCTGCTTGGACTGGAACGAGACGTCCCTGATCACACTCTTGGTGTTCTTGAGACGTCCGAGGAACGGGAAGCGCGACAGTCTGAGGGCAGCAGCACGGTTGATCAGGTACGGGATATCAAAGTTTTGGATGTTGTAACCCGTCAGGATGTCGGGGTCTATCTCTCGGACAAAGTTGGCCCATGCCTAGGAGGAGAATGTTAAGTTTGGAATAGTTATTTGGTTTTGAAATTAAAGAATTGACACAATTTGAGATCTTTATATTTCTAATAGAGAAATACTTTATAGCAGTTCACTTAATTTCAAGAACATGTTTCAGAGACTTATCTAAAGCTATTTCAGTTTCATCATCATCATCATCAACATCCCTATTACAACTCTCTTCATCACCATTATTGACATTATCATTATCTATACAATCATCATCATCATCACCATCACCACCACCACCACCATCATCATCATCATCATCATCATCATCACCATCATCACCACCATCTACATCATCCCCACCACCATCATCATCATCATCATCAGCATCATCACCACCACTACTAGCACCACCACCACCACCACCACCACCATCACCATCACCATCATCACAATCATTACCTGAAGCATCTCGTGTTCCGTCTTGAAAGACATGACTTGGGAGCCGACAATGGGGGCGCACGTGTTGAGAGTAAAGATGTTTCTAATGAACGGATCTCTCTCTCCCTGCCGAATCACCATGTTGGCAATCTGGATGACGGGATCCTTCTCGGCTTCTGGGAAAATACCTGCAGATGTTGGTGGATACAGATAGTGAAATTACAATTTAACTAGATGGAATTCGACTGCGCGCAGTCGAAAATGATGCCTCCGTCATAGAGCAATTTTACAAACCAAAACAGAAGAAATTTTTCAAATTCAAGTTCAATTGTAATCCATTAACAGGTTCTCAGAATATCGTGATTACAAACAATTTCTCATATACATATATGACCCTTTGAACTTTGACCTCATGATCCTAATATCTACTCAGCTCATTGGCTCTGCAAGATATCCAGAGTTAAATAGTAATCCATCTGTCAGTTCTAATGAGAATGCGTTCACAAGCTATTTTTGCATACATAATGAGCCCATGACCTTGGACCTTATGAACCAAGAATCTACACAGTTCATTGGCTCTGCAAGATACATAAATGATCTAAGTTTGGCAGGAATCCATCAATCTGTTCTAATGATAACGCGATCACAAGCTGTTTTTGCATACATAATGGGCGCTGTGACCTTTGACCTTTGACCTCGTTACCCAAAATCTAATAAGTTCATCGGCTCTGCAAGTAACATACATGACCTAAGTTTGGCAGGAATCCATCAATCGGTTCTTGAGATAACGCGATCACAAGCTGTTTTTGCATACATAATGAGCCCTGTGACCTTTGACCTTTGACCTCGTGACCCCAAAATCTAATCAGTTCATTGGCTCTGCAAGATACATACATGACCAAAGTTTGGCAGGAATCCATCAATCGGTTCTTCAGATAACGCGATCACGAGCCGTTTTGCATACATAATGAGCCCTGTGACCTTTGACCTTTGACCTCGTGACCCCAAAATCTAATCAGTTCATCGACTCTACAAGATACATACATGACCAAAGTTTGGCAGGAATCCATCCATCGGTTCTTCAGATAACGCGATCACGAGCTGTTTTTGCATACATAATGAGCCCTGTGACCTTTGACCTTTGACCTCGTGACCCCAAAATCTAATCAGTTCATCGACTTTGCTAGATACATATATGACCAAAGTTTGGTAGGAATCCATTGATCCGTTCTTCAGATAACGTGATCACGAGAACGGGACGTACGTACAGACGTACGTACAGACGTACGGACGGACGGACGGACGGACGGACGGACGGACAACCCGAAAACATAATGCCTCCGGCTACTTCGTAACGGAGGCATAAAAAAGCTTGAAATCTTAAAGGGCGACAACCATACAGTGAAACCTGTGTATGAAGACCACTCAAGGAAGACAAGTAGTCTTTATAGGCAGGTGGTCTTTCTATACAGGTGGTCGCTAAATCAGGTATGGCTGTAGTTCTCTTCCCACATATAATCTCTCTGGGAGTTAACAATTTCAGTGCTCTACAAATTTTACCTTTGATCAGGCATGATTTTCAATGTGATTATTAACTCTAATCTTCTTAGCTATGGCTACAACTATTCCATGTGAATTACAGAACCGTTGAATAAAGAGAAATTTGACTTCTAAATAAGTACATTAAAGTTTGGTTCATGTTTGGGTAAAATGTGATGGTGGGTATTTCTTTCCAAGTTATAGGTCTCAGACACAAACAAGACACTTAGGAGAAGAAGATGGTGATCAATTAGACAGTCCTTTAAGAATGATATTTCTAAAGGAACCTTTTTCATGAGAAGAAAAACAAATCATAAACATATCAGAGATCAGAATTCAAGTATAAATTCTGGAGATGTGTTAAGAGTAATTTTGATAACTTCCCAAAGAAAATCTCCTCCTTTTATCCCTCTTCATTCTGCCTACCTTTCCGCCCCGCGCACTCGATATCAAAACTCAGAATCCTGAACGGTGCCACTTTCTCCCACTGGCCGTCGGGGGGATGACTGATGAAGCGATCCCAAGCAACGTCGATCTCGATCTGTGACACCGACGTGGGGGCATGACCGGAGGATGAGCGAACGCGGTAGGTTCCTGCAGGTACTTCGATCCAGTTGCAACCAACGACATCTGCGTCGACCATAAACCTGGTAAAATAAGTTTAAAGAGAAGGTTGAGTTCTGGGAAGAGGTGAAACATAATTTGTGAGTGTTATCATTGTTATTATGCAAGTGTGGAAGAACATCAGATAAAACCCTAGAAAGCATGGCTCTTCAAATGCCTTAATATTCTAAATATTGCATGTAGCAGCTTAAAAATTGGAATGGATTTTTATGCCACATGTTTGTTTAGTCCCATGTACATCTTTCTGTGTACAGTGCGTGTAACTTTACCAGGACTGGGCCAAATTTCTTAACATTTTGATGAGTCCAGAACCTTGCAGTACACACCAATACTTAAATGCTAGATGATCAACCTTTAATGGTCGATTCCACACCTTTTCTTTCACAATGCAATCGCATGACCAGAACTCAACTTTATCTTTAAGAAATGCTGCAATGAACTGTTTTTGAAAAAAGCTGTACCTCTATATTAAGACAATAACCCCTACAACATCAACAGCCCTTACTTTAAATTGCCAAAGAAATAGGTAGAATTGTTTTTTTAATTTCTATAATCCAAGTCAGGATAAGTATATTCTCAAGAATTCATTCACTAAAGAAATCATCAGTTCTTTTCATATTTATTTAAAATCATTGTCTACTATTTGTATTGTGATCGTGTTCTCCTATCTTTTTCATATAAAGTACTGTTTGTCCCGTTCTCGTCTATGTTGGCATCCCCCTTCTTTCCCCATTTTGTAGTTACGGTGCGAACTTGTTAATTGAATTACTCATTATTCCTAAGTATCATTTGAGGGGTCCACAATTGTACAAGCATTGCTTTAGCATTGCTTTTCAGTGGACCCCTCTGTTTCCAATAAGTATTCCTAAATTGTTGTAAAATTTTTATTATTGATTTGTAATGGAGACATAAATAAATTGAATTGAATCGAATCATGGAGCAGCCATAGACATTAATCAACATCAGACCTCCATCAAAACATAATTTATGCAGATGGCGTATAATGGAAAATAACCAGTGTGATATATGTAGAGAAACAGAAAACACTTTTCATGTCTTGTTAAAATGTAACAAGGTTAGAGTTTTTTGGAAAATTATTGAAAACTTTTATTATAATTACTTTCATGAACTAATAAAAATTAATGAAAAATCATTAGTTATAGGTTATTTTATTGAAAAAAAGGAAAAATTTGTGATAAACTTCTTGTTAATTTTAGGACAATACATAATATACATCTAATGTTTATTAAACTTCGGTGTGATGGAAAAGAGTACAATAGTAAAAGTCTGTTCATTAATTTCAAATTAAAACTAAGATATGACCTAGCATGAAACACAAAGAAATTTTTCAAGAAATGTTAATGTTATAACTATTTATTTAAATACTTTGTCTTTTTTTTAATTATTTTAAAATGTAAATTGATGTAAATATATATGAAATGTGAAATAAAACACCTCGGTAAGAGGACAAGAAAAAAAAACATCAGGCCTAAAGATGACTTTCTGAAATGGAATTCCCATTACCTGATCTCAAAGTCAATGTTACTCTCATAGGTCTGGTAGCCCCTGTGCGGGTACGGTGGGACCGATAGCCCCGCCTCTAGGAGTCTCCTAGCTGGGGCTATCAGCTTAGGGTATGCCATGGTGATCTTCAGGAAAGGCATCATCTTGTTTCCATGGAAACCATAGATATCTGGAAAGCAAGGAGATTACAAGAAGATGTGATACTTTTTATTGTGTTAGCAGTAATGTTTAATTGAAAAGATTCGATCTTTTTTTTTATCTCTCTCTACAATGGCAGATTAAGAGATATTTTTCTCGAGTTTGATATTATAATAAACTTGGCAAAGTGAGGATTAATGGCTGGCAATGAACATGGTGCTCTCTTGCCACAGGAATAGTTTGTGTAAGTTTATCATCAGCACACACAAGTTCCTGTATTTACCTTATACATGTACATGTAATTACACAACAAGCTGCTTTCATATCTAATTCAATCCACAGAACTGCTGTCTCAAACAGGCTGTGGTGACATACATGTAAAGAAAGAAATCTTCAGAATATGGACAATTTAGGAACAAAGGCATCTTAATAATAATTTCGTTTTTCAAAGAGGCCTCACCAGGCCTCACCAGCTTCAATGCTTTTTAGTGGATCCCCCATTTCCTCAGAAATTAAGAATTTCTCGTAATAATTTTATTAAGTGTATTTGTATAGTTAGCAGAAAAAATGAATTATGAAAAAAATGTAATACCTTTGTTTATTTTTCTGTTGGAAATGAAATAAATATGAATTGAATTAAATTGAATATTCTTCTTCCAAAGGGCCCTGAATTAACATTACCCCAGCAATTGCCTGGTACCCATTTACACCTAGGTAGAGAGTGGCAAACATAGATTAATGTCTTGCCAAAGGACGTTAGTGCCTGGCTGAGATTTGAACCCTCAACCTTTGGATTGAGAGTTAAGTGAATGAACCGCTATACTATGACACCTCCACACAATAAACCTAATAACCCATTTATAAACTGTTATATATCACAAAATTCATTATAAACCACTCTGTGCAAAGATGAACTATCTGAAGCAAAGTACTTACTTTCTTTCTGCATGACATCCACGGCCAAGACAGCCTGGGTCAAGTTGTCCTTGTTTGACCTCATGTCGGCTAGGACAGCATCGTTGACACACATCCTGAACTTGGAGCAGTGCTCGGGGACGAAGTTCTGCGGGGCGGGGATGTAGAAGTAGGGCGTGAACCCGTGGATGTGGCACAGGACACTGTTTCCCGCCTCGGTCACGCCGAACATTCGGATGATCGGCGTCGGGCCTGACGTAGCGCCGGGCATGCCCTGGATGTGAGATCCTGAAGAAATAGAAACAATGAGACTCCATGATAAGGCAGTACACCAAGTTCACGAACACATTAAAATTTATGGCTTTCCAAGTTTAATACATGTAAACATAACTTGTGAAACAGGAAAACTTTGGATGTGTTTCCAATCCATTTCCTTATCTTAGCTCAGTTGGAGCTGAGCGGAGAGTTCGCTACCTGACTAAGACGAGAGCCAGCGTCGAAGTGACGAAATCACCGTAAAACACCGCTATTTATAGTCTCTAAGAGCTGCTTTACGCATGGTGCGTCCGTAATCGCGCTCTGAGCTCTTACGCCCCAAAAGCTTACTGCGCCCTCTACGTTTTCTGCGAGATAACTAATAGTAACAGACTGGTTCGTTACAGTACACTCAGTTCACAAACAGATAACAATTTATGGCTTACCAAGTTTAATACATGCAATTAATAATTTTGTGAAACAGAAAAGGTTTGGATGTGAGTTCCTAATTTTTTTTTATATGGCACTTCATGATGAATCAGAACTATATAGTTCAGACAGATACAGATTAAAATTCATGGCTTTCCAAGTTTCAGCATGTGATATAGTAAACGCTTGTAAAACAAGAAACTTTAACAAATGTTGCAAGGAGTCAAAATTCACAAAAACTCATGCTGGATAATGAGAGAATCATAACATTTTGCTTTCCCCCCTCTATTTTCAAGATTTCTTATCACTTCAATTTACATTTGGGAATGTTTCTGGTTTTCTAGCATTGTTTTCTACTCATTTTAAAATATGGTAGGATGATGATGATGATGATAATGATGATGATGATGATATTGATGATGATATTGATGATGATGATGAAGAAGATGACTATAATGATCATGATGGTGATGATGATGATGGTATTTGTGGTGATGATGGTGATGATGATATTATTGATGATGATTTTAATGATGATGATGATGATGATGATTATGATGATGATGATGATGATGATGATGATGATGATATTGATGATGATGATGATAAAGAAGACGACTATAATGATGATGATGATGGTGATGATGATGGTATTTATGGTGATGATATTAATAATGATAATAATGATGGTGATGATGATGATGATGATGACGATATTGATGATGATGATGTTGATGATGATGATGACGATGATGATAATGATGGTGATGATGACTGCAGGTGTCAATGGTGAATTAATACTCAAGAAACTTGTCACATGGAAATAGTAACACCTACTTACCAATATAATGCTCGAGATCAATTTGCTGGAAAACAATGGAGTCCTTTGAGGGGTCGATAGGAGCCAACGGAGGACGAGGCCATTTAGGATGCTTACTCTGTGATTTAGGATCTATTTGTTGCAGAAAGAAAAGCAAAGAAGATCACATGAATTACTATTACAGTTGAAACTGCTTTAGTGACCACCTGTATAGAAAGACCACCTGTCTTCTAAGACCACATTTTTTTGTTTCCCTTGAAAATGGTTTCTCATTAAAACATGTACTAAAGGAACCTGTACATAAAGACCACCTGTACATAAAGACCACCTGTCTACAAAGGCCACTTTCGTGTTTCCCTTGGGCAGTCGCTATAGACAGGTTTGACTGTAGTACAGTTAAACCTGCTTAAGTGACCACCTGTCTACAAAGACCACATCTTTTCCCTTGAAAATGGTGTCTCATTGAAACATGTACTAAAGAAACCTGTACATAAAGACCTCCTACCTGTAAAGACCATTTTTCTTGTCTCCTGTGTGGTCTTTAAAGACAGGTTTGGCTGTATCTCACTTTGATCTTAATGAATACGATCATCATTAAAAAATCAAAAAATTGCTGTTTCTTCATCACTGTTAAAAGCAAATGCTGTCAAAACCATCAGTCAAACCTTCTAAATTGTTATCTCAAGCAAAATCAAACTAACTTCCTCTTGTCAAAAATCTTCAAAGAATGATGAGTAACCTCGATAGTTACTTTGAATTGTATCAAACAAGCGATTTATTTTGCTCTGCAAGGAAAGTATTATTTGCATGGTGTGATTTTTAGCTACATTTGGTGAGGATGATCAAATTCTAGTTTTAAGCATATCCTGCAAAAATTGAAAGCATTAATTAAGCAATCTAAAAGTGGTATGTTGGTAGTGTTTTCTTTCTGATCTTGAGCTTGTCTTAATACTTTTCATTTCTCTATTTTTTTATCTTGATAAGTTTTATTGGTCAGAAAACACAATGATTCACAAAATGTGTGTTAAATTTTTTTTGCAGAAAAATAAATGAATAGTGATATTGTTTGACATTTACAATCATGTTTTTTCACATTTCAGTGTTAAATAAAAAAACATAGCATGATACTTTTGTATATCTGAGAATAACAAATAACAACTTTCAGCTTTTTGTCTTCTGACATGTATTTACAGTCTGTACTTTTTTTACTTTGTGCACCAAACTTTAATTTCAAGTTAAATCTCCATTGAATAATCTTTTACTTTCTTTTGATTTATTGGTTTTACTATCCTAAGAAAAGAGAAAAAATCTTCACCACTGCTTGGCAACGGCGCTGATCCTTGGTCTGATCCGTTGGTCCCTTGGGACTCGGACTCGATCTGCTCCATCAAGGCCAGCTCTTCCTCAAATACCGACGGGTCCTGGTCCTCAAAGTCCTGGACCCTGGCCCTCTTTGCCTGAGACCCGCGAGGGGTGCCTCCTGGTTTGCGTTTAGAATCCATGGTAATTTCTACAGCATCCTACGGGGAAAGGGTATAGATCAAACAATCAATTAAACTTAAGTGAAATATTTAACCTTTTCATGGATGCTGAGAAAAAATTGTAACAAATCAAGATTTGACTAAAAAAAATATCATGATTTTGGTATCAAACAGAAAATCTCAAGCTTTCTCCTTGCACCAATATCTTATAACATTGGGTGAATGACAGCCAGTGATATAAGTATAAGTATAATAGTTTATTGTCCTTTTCAGGAAATTTGTTTTCCACTGGTTACAGAGTATTGCGATACAGATATATAAAGGGCCCTTGTCTGCGCCAATTTAGTAAAATGAGGCTTAGTGCAATTCGCTGAGATCGGATGAATGTTATGCCCATAGCCATAAGCCCATAGACTTTTAAATAGGGAGGCCAATGCCCGGGCGTAAGGCTTCTACGCCTACGATTTGTGCGCTCGTCGTCCAAGTCAGAAAATTACCAGAAGAAAAAAGGAAAAAAAGAAGAAAAAAAATATCTATGGAATAAAATGTATAACAAATACACAATTACACACTCAACAACATACCTATAATCACGAATCTGTAACGGTCTTTCACCATTTGTTGACGATCTTGCAGATTTTGACGTATTTCCATCCAATAATTGTTTTAGCAGACGAACTTATATGTAGCGCGCACACAACAGCAACGAGAGGGCGCAGAGGTTAGCTCACTAAAAACCTTCTCAATGGCAGAAGGTAGACCCTAAAAATATGGAACCAATTTAATATCAAAGAACTTTTGATAGAGATTAACATATCAGATGTGCACAAATGTCACTTTTAACAACTAGAAAATATAACGAAAAAAGATTATATCTTTTTAATTGCAGATTTTTACAAACTGCACATTCGAAGGTAGATAGAGTACGATGTTTTTGTCAATCTTGCGTTGGTTTGAGCCCCATAGCTAGAGCCATCTCAAATTGAGAAGGAAAATTGTGAACAGAGACCTCATTGTTTCAGCCCCAAATAGAAGTCTTGCGACATCATAATATGAATATTTATGAGCTCCGGTCTCATCGCGCGCAAAACAAATTTGACGTAGTCTCACAAATAGTACCTTTTTCTCAGCACTAGACACCAGTGTCGCGCAGTAATGTATGAGAAGTGTAAAAAAAGACATTTCAGTAAAAAAAAAAAAAGTCTACATGAGCAGTCTATACTCCAATTGAGAAGTGTAATGAATGCTATGATTTGAGCGTGTGTGTTTTAGTGTATGATATCATCATATGGTTAGTGAGAGAGAGAGAGAGAGAGAGAGGGAGAGAAATATCTCCGTAAGTAGTACACGTCTAGTCTATCAATGCGTGCACTCATGTTTGATTCCGTATTGTGATCGCTGCATGCAAGTGCAAGTTGGATTTATCGATCGATGATAATGCAGTGTCAGATCTTTACTCATGAGGAAATAGTAATTGGAATACATCGCAAAACTAAGGTAGGCCTATTTATTTATTTCAATTACTTTCTTAATTTACAATGAGTGGCTTTCGAGCTTTCTCTCCATTATGTTGACCCTCCATGCCATGGCTAGCATGGCTCGATCGCGGCTTGCATGCAATTACCGTACCTGGCCTGCAGTACTGTGTCGGTGTGTGCGACTAATTCAAGGCTAGCCGGTGATGCATGAATGTACTTTCGCGCGAAGTTTTGAACTTGTTGTCCGGGCAATGACCATGATGACACGCCCATTCCCTCGGGCCTGTCTAATTCTCAACGTAATTGAAATTGATTGTTTCAAGGCTCTTACGTACGGCCAGGCGTAGAAGGAACCTCATAGGAACTAGCTGGATATCTCCTATTTTATGGAACTTCTGGAGTCGGCAGATGGGTGAGTTATCTTAGTGAAAGAAAATGCTTTCTTTTAATGTTTGTTTTATTATAAACAAATTAGTAATTAAAAAGTTAGATTTGGGCATTGGCCTCCCTATTTTAAAGTTCTAAGCTATTAAAGCTAAGTTTTTTACGTGTTCTGCTCTCTTTTCATTCTTTCTAATCTTAGTCTCTCTCTCTCTCTCTCTCTTTCCTTGTCCGTTTGTCTTTCTCACTCTGCATCTGACAATGTTGAATGTCTTCATGGTCTTGTGCCCTTGACTCTTGTGAGTTGTGACTTAGACTAACTTGATCTGTCAAGTCAAGTGTCAGTCACTGCACTGCACTGTCTTCTCTGGCGCTGGCTCTCATACTACTACTACTACTAGCTCATTCATTGCATTGGCATTGCATTGTACAATAACAGATGTAGATGATTTGAAAGTTTGCCTGTTCTAACGCCAGCAGATCTCCCATAGGCCTATGCCATATTTGTTTCCATACTGCCGGTCTAGATCAACTTTTTTCATCTTCAAATTTTGTACAAACGCGAAATGCTAATTTCGCAGGACTGATAACTATGATAACATGTTTTTTAACGAGTGGGACCGATTACGAAAAAACGTATGACGTAAACAAAATTTTTACCTAAGTTGACACTTTAAAATCAATCAAATGAATTAAACTATGTCAGATATTATCTCCTCGTGTTTGAAAACAGCCGATGATCACAAAATATGAGAGACCTAACCATACTTACAAAATCACATCAATTTGGAAGCCTTCTTCCCTCTTTCAATGTCGCGCGGAATCTTCGAAATTCGGCGGGACGCGCGTTTCCGTTTTACACCCTGCCCTAGGCTTTTCTCCAATAAAATTTTACAAACCGACTGGTATTCGGAGTCTAGTCGTCCACATCTTGCCTCGGCGCTCTGCACACCACCAGAACTCTGAAAACGTCACGTAGCGCTAGCTAACTCTCTATACTAGTTGATCTTCCTAGTCGTATCATTTATTTTTATCCATTAATACGCAATACTCTAAGAGCGTGAGGATGCGTGATCAGCTCGCAAAATTTAGCCCAGCGATAACAAAACAATAATATATCGGGAAAACCGTCTTGAACAAGAAGACCCTCGCATCCCCAATTGAAATTGTACATAAGCTTTGGCTTCGCTATTCTTGACGTCGATATAAACAAACTTAGACTTCGGATACAGCATGTTTCGTGTAATTTCTTGCCGAAAAGCCTAGGGCAGGGTGTAAAACGGAAACGCGCCGGCGGGACAAGCCACTTCCTGTTTTGGACGCGACGACGGCGATCGGTATAGGCAGCGCAGCGCAGCGCAGCATGAACGATCGGAGAGAGTGTGGGGGTGGGGGGGGGGGGGGGGGGGGAGGGGGGAGGGGGGAGGGGGAGGGGAGGGAGTTCGATGGGCATGGGGATTTGGGGAGGGGGTTGATGGGCATTGGGATGGGGCGGGGGGAGGGCCATTTTTGTATCTCTCCTTTACCTCTCTCATACCAGCCTAATATATATCCCCCCTCCCTTTTGATCTTGTTTCCCCCTCAATAATGAATATAATAATAATATAGTATAGCATAGGCCCTTCCTTTTATCTGTTCCCTAGCTCATAGACCTACATCCTCGATCCTCCTCTTCCTCCTTCGACCTTCGTAATCTTCTTTACTTCAATCATTATTATTATCATCATCGTCATCAGCATCATCTGCATCATTACTCTTTAATATTTTTATTATCATCATATTCTCTTCTGTTGGGCTTTCTTTCACCCGCTTAAATATTCTTAATTATCATTAATATTCCATATCTAATCTGAATAGAAAAAACACAGCATAAATTAAAACAAAACAAACAAACCCACAAAAAGCAATCAGAAGCGACAGTAACTAAATTCAAATAATGATTAGCTTTATTATTTACTTTACATAATAAATGTTCATCACACAAGAATTTTGTACATATCATGCAAACCCTCGTTATCTCAAAATGCAATGAACAGGGAATATACATCATGTACAACACTGGATGAAAAATGAAAGTTTAGTTACATAATCGACGGTCCTATGTAGATACATGTAGATACCCAACACTCTCATCCAAAGACAAATTCAGTCATATTTTGTCCCGAGATTCAAGGAGTACAAAAGCGATCTGGAGCCTCATATTAACGTAAGGCTTAAAAAAAAGTTGTTGTATTGCCATTTGCGACCAACCCCAAAATCTTAAAATTCACGTTTTGCTTTTTATTAAAGTTTTTTTTCTTTTTTTCCCCGTTTTTCAGCCAAAAAATGGTTAATGAATAAAAAAATATGTATTAAAGCATTTAAAACTGAAAAATTATCAGCACAAAGAAAGAAAAAAACAAAACAAAGAAAAAAAGGGGGAAAAAATTGACCGACCTACCCAGGTGCTGGCACCTAAAGGGCAATACAACATCTTTTTTTGTTTTGCCTTGCCTTATAGAGAGAGGCACTTCATTAAAAACTGATGAAAAAAGTTTGAATGAAATGTGTACAACGCTGCAACGATATTTGCCTTCTTAATAGTATTTGTTTGCTTCAAAACTTGATGAATGATCGCATGAATGAGAGAAAGAAGAGGCTGTATATCAAATATATAAAAGGGGCAGGACATCTGAAACATATTTTGAAATATACACCTCAGCATAAAACAGAGATGTACATGAACCAGTAATACTTGTTCTCTTTTCAAAACCACTTGTTTCTTCCCTTTTTCTTCTTGCCTCATTTTGAATATAATACACACATTAATACAGGATGGAACACATACTGTTTAATAAATGAATGCAAAGCACAGAATATTACACAGAAAGATAGCTTGAAAAAGAAAAGGAACCGATCACTCCCCAGAAGGTTTGCCACATTCATAATACAACGATCATACTAATTAAATACATAAATAAATAGATTCAAATTCTCATTTGTCCACAACCATATCTTAGCATGGTATGACGGGAAAATTCTCAAAATCCATCGAAACAAAATCTGAATTAATCCAGAGGACAAAAAGTAATGACACTGGGTTTGAGAAGCAGTATTGAACTAAATATTATTAATAAAGTCAGTAATTATCTAATATTGTATTTGTATCATCTAAATATAATGTACATAAATAAGTAAAACTATAAAAACAAACAAAAAATAAGAAGGAAAAAAGAGGGAAAAAACAAACTCAAATGCAGTTTGAACTTTGAAGATAATGAAATACACAAAAAAGGATTTTTCTTCTTCATAGAATGCTGCCTGACACCTTTCTTTCCAATTAGAAATAAATATGTACATGTAATTAAAAAGAATATTAAAAACAAATGGATGTCTCCATATTTCATCACAGTATTGTAGTGCCATTTTCTTTGTTTTTCTTAGAAACTGAGGCGTTTCCAACTCATTTGATAGCAACAGAGAATTTCATAACCTCCAGTGGTTCTTTTTTTCTTTCTATCTCTCTCTTTTAATGTTTTTGTCCTGGTACTACAGTTCATTGTAAATAAGTCAGAGGATGACAGTCAAGATAATTGATAGTCTTAAAGCTTATCTGCCATAGTTTACAGGAGGGATTAGACCGCCCTACAAGGTCACTGGACAGGTGGTTATCTCATCAACTCAGCTCTCAGTTAACATAAGAAAAAGAGGATCATGGGGGACCAATGGTCACCGATTAGGCATTGTTTGTTGTATAGAGGGCGCAAGTAGCTACACGTAGTGCAGTGAGCCTTTAAGCCAAAATAAAATGCAATGCCTCCCGTCATTACTAAAGTAACTAAGCACTTGGTTCTTTTTCATTCATTTTTCAAACAAATGCTACATTCTGAGTATCACAAGCGATGCTTTAAAAAGTCAAAATGCAAAGTACACTATTCCACAGATTTGAAAAGGTCACTCAACTTAGTTACAAATGAGGACAGAACACTTTTCAATGAAATATAACAATATTAATAGTAAAGAATAGTACATTATACATCTGTAAATTATAAAGATTATGAATGATAGGAAAGCAAAATGAAAAATGTACATGTATTTCACTCACGAGTGAGGCTTAAATAATATCACATGATATGCTAATCTATCATATTGGTAGTAAAGCTTAAGATTCATATTGCTGGCATTTTTAATTTGATTAAAGCCTACCTGAACTAGTTTGTGGTCACTGGCAGGTGGTTATCTCATCAAATCAGCTCTCAATTAACATTAAAAAAGGGGACCATGGGGGTCCAACGGGTTCCGCTTTAATAGGCATTGATTGCTATGCAGAGGGCCCAAGTAGCTACAAGTAGTGCAGTCCTGCTTTAATTTGATTAAATTATTCATGGATGGACTGCAAAATGAAAATCCTAATTGGTCTATTTGCTAGGATGCTTGAAGATAGAATACGATATTGTACAAACATTTAAAAAAAATTATTAATAGATAGATAGAGGCCTCTAAATCAATGTCTTTTGTATTTTTATTTTTTTGGTTTTTGGTTAGGAATGTAGCATTACAACAAAGCAGAAACAAATTCAACTGTTGATGATTGAATACTTGACCTTCTTTTAACCTCTAACCTTCTCCATTTTCACTCTTACATGAAGATATCATACAGTTATAATTTTACATTGTATAAACAATTTCTGAGTTACTCACAAAGACGCAATACCAAAAGTCACTACAAAATATAATAAAATACTAGAATTTAGATAAAAGAAACATGTTGATATATTTACAGGAATCAATTTTTTTTTTACACAAGGTTGTGAAATAATTAAATTTAAACGGGTTGAATTATACCACCACTTCAATTAAGAAGTTTATTTCACTGAAGATTTTTTTATTTCATGCTCCAAGGCATTAATCCTCATTACCAAATCCCTCGGATAGGACTTAAAGCAAGTCCCCTAGTAGACCGAAAGCTTCAGTCTCTGATATCGACGGTTGTTCCGCTGAGATTGCATCTGGCTCCTCTGACCGCCTCTATACATGTCAACATGTGTCAGTTTTGTTAAAGAAATGACCCATATCAGACAGTTATTTCTGTCTAGTCCCCTAGTTGCTCTCTTACAAGCAGATTATTTTAGCAGTCAGTTAAAAAAAAAGAATATCACACCATCAAACAAAAGTTGTTAATCAAACAAGAAGTTGGGGGAAGGAATGGAAGGATTAAATACTCAACAAAATTTAAAGCTATTTATTTGCTATGGTTTATCGTTTGTTCATCCCCTCTCCTAAATTCTCATACAAGAATCGGCATGGTTCGATAAACATAACATATTTTTCTTTTTTGGAACAAAATTATGCATTTGCCTACATTCAATGTGAAATTTGTTCCGATTCAAAATATTTTCAGGGCAATCTTATAACAAAACAACTGATAAAATCTCACAATCTCATTCTTGAATTTCATTTAGATTTGTTTGTTAGCTTAATAGCACAGAAATAAACGTAAATATCATGAAAGTACCATTTGAACTCTCTTGATAATACAGGGGGGGGGGGGGGGGTTTCACAAAGAGTAAGATCAACTTTAAGTTGGACTTAACTATGGCAGGCGTTTATGCCTCTAGTTCCTCTAACCATTCCTGGCATTGGTTTCTCAAGGGACGTATAAATCATGGTCACAAATCTACAGAATCTACATTTTTTGATAGTTCATTATTGACAGAAAAAATATTATCTAAAGATCATAATTGAGAGACCAATAGTGAGAGCAACCAGTGGCATGAACGGCCTGCCATAGTTTAGTCCAACTTAAAGTCGATCTAAGTCTTTGAGAAACACTCCCCAGGAAGGATGAGCTACTCAAATGATACTTCAGGCTCTTGGTAACAAAGAAATCACCTGTATTAATCTGACTTGCCCAAAAGTTGCAGGCATGGTAATATAAATGCTGGTATAATGATATCATTGCTCTTTGATGACTACACGCATGTACCAGCGTAATCAGGCAATGCACCCATATCTTTAATCAGTGATCGAGCCATTCATAATGATTCAAGTATTTCATGGTGTGGTACGCATTATATTGGATTGCCAGTGTGACGTCACAATGATTATCAGTAAAGTATTTTACCTTAAAATCGGCTTATTAAAGTAACAATCTCAGATGTGAACTGAATACAAGTAAAGAACTTACTACTTAGCCAAGTAAAATGTTAAGTCAAATACAGACTTAATCCACGAGCTGAATTGAATACGGCTCCTAGTAATTCAGACCCTAGTGCACACCAATCACTGTTCAAAAGATCATATATAGAAAAAAGGCAAATGTTGATTGGATAGATGAATTTCTCTCTTTAAAGATGTTTTTTCCTTTCGCAGACCTTAAAACGTGACTCTCCTTGAATCGGGTGGTACACGTATATGGAAGAGGTTTATTTATAAGAACCCTCCCGCTAAATTTAAAAAAATGGAAACTGGCTTTCAACTCATACATTTTCAATGTTTAATTACAATTATTTATTTTCTAGACTCAAAAAATGTTTGTACATAATTCAAAATGTATTCAACCGTTAGTGATTTGAGAATAGCTCCCTCTACGACAATATGAAAACAGCGCTAGATTGTCTTTTCTCATAAAGAACTAGGTGTCAAAACCTGTGACTGTCAAATGCCACACACGGTATCTGAAGGATATATTTTAAACACTCGCAAAGTTTCATGGAGTTTGCACAAGTCTGTAAAGGGGATTTTAAATCTTCTTTTCTCTCACGACAGAAATCTCTCTCCCTCCGCCTCTAATCTTTCTTTCTCTCTTCAATGGCCGTGTAAGAAGTGGTGGTATAATTCGTCATCGTCGATGAAGCCTCCGGAGAGAAAATAAGGGGCTGTGGGGGAAGGGAGGGAGGGGGCAGCGGTGGCAGCCTGTGTTATGAAGATGACTTCAACTCTTTTACAAGCCTGGAGTGAGAGATAGCAAAAAGGAGAAAACATGGGGATAAAGTCAATTCAATGCAATTCAATAATGATAACATTTTTCCCCTCCATAACATGATTTACAAAGCTTGCTTTAGTAAGTTGCGCAGGTTCACAATAATCTTTGGATCGCAACATACCCCTGTAGATTGCGTCAATGAATTCACATTCATCCTTTCATATGTAACACATTGATTGTCAAGTGTCTGCTAAAATAGTTTACCTAACTGGATATTCTACTCCTTTTTTATATACAGCTGTAGTTGTTTACGACAGATGTCATAAGTCAGGTGGTTCAATCATGTGACTGTGAATGCAAGAGTTCATTCATTTACAAGCCAGGGGGTGTTTCACAAAGATTCTAAGTTGAACTTATCTCTAAGTTGGACTTAACAATTATGGAAAGCCGTTAGCATCATTGAAAATGTTTTGTAAATATCATTTTAAAAGGCATAAAATGTTGATTCAAATCATTCATTTTTTCTATTATCTTGGGACATTTGATGTTCTTGATGTGGAATTTATGACAAGTCTAAAATACTTGATTTTTTGCTTTTGAACATATTTTATTTTAAGGCTACAAATGGCTCTCCATAATGTTCAAGTCCAACTTAGATATAAGTTCAACTTAGGATCTTTGTGAAACACCCACCTGGGGTGAGAGGATACGAGATGACATTGAGATAGAGGAGAGACAGAAGAAACAAACATAGATGGAGCAAAACGAGCGACAGAAGGATAAAACAAGATGATAATTATACTTAAATTGAAATCTTCACTTCAATAAGGCCTAAAAAAAAAAATTGATGACTTGGCGTAACGGGTCACTGAAAATTAGGGTAGGTAGGGCGATTTTTTTGGTTTTTGTTGTTGTTGTTGTTGTTGTTGTTGCTTATATTTGCATACATGAAATTAGCCATTCATACACATACATACATACAGTGGCGTAGATAGGTCCTCAGACCTTGGGGATGATCTGATGAGAGGGGTAGACCACAATATGTTCAAATAACTCCACGCACACACACACACACATATATGGACACACACACTGTGTGAGCAAAGTGAGCAAGAAATTGTTGAAATCTTGATCACCTTGGGACCTGGGGGATGCATACATACACCTGCCCCCCCCCCCCCCCCTGCATACATACATGTACAGTACATGTACATACACCCTCATGCACATAAAATGCAAACATACGAACGTATTAATAGGTTTCCAACAGACCCCAGCCTGAGATATCTCAGACACTGTCTTCAACATAATAAACAGGTGAATATGTAGGTTTAGAAGGGGCTGTTCACAAATATTAGTATTTTCACAATGTATTGACTAGCATTTTTATAACTTGTCTAGAGGTTAACATGTTAACATGTATCCAAAATCTTGAAGAATGAGAGTTGAAAAGAGTAGCCAATTACAACTTGTGAAAATATTTACAATTGTGAATGACTCTGTAATAACAAACAGTTAAAAAATGTCTCCAGTATTTCAGAATCCTTTTTCAAAAAAAAAAAAAAAAAAAAAAAAAAAAAAGCGTAGGGTCGGCGATAAAAATAGGGTCGGGCGGGTTACGCCAAGTCATCAATTTTTTTTTTAGGCCTAATGGCTTTCAAATAAAGAATTATATAGAACAAATAGCCAAATCATGCATGTTTCAAGTGACATAGTCTCGAGGGTGCAACAAAGCTGGTTTTTGTGAACTTTTTTTCATCCTTTTAAAGCAGGACTGCACTACCAGACCTGCCGACCTCTGGGGTTCAAAAACTGTTTTCTTTAATCCCAAAAGTTATATCTTACTGATAAAAGTTGTATTCTTATAAATAAACACGGACTGTTACGAGGATCAATGCCTCTGGCAGTTTTTACATACAGGAAGAATTTTTTGTATGGATCATTGGTTGAATATGCATGATTTTGTCACGACTGTTGTGTTCGATGAAACAATGAACATCCCCCAATTGCTGATGTGAGATGCTTGTAGGATAGTTTACAGGATAGAATGGGCATTTCGTTTTTTGTTGTTGTTGAAAATCGTATTTTACTGAGGAAAATCATACTGTCGTGTTTGCTTCTAAAAATTGTACAAAATACAACTAAATCGTACTGGTTGGCAGGTCTGCACTACTGATAACCAATAAGAAGCAAGGATTTCAGTAGCTTGTAACAAAAATTGTCATTTGTCACTGATGACAAGTTTTGTGAAACGCCTCCCTGGTGAGGCGCTGTATGAAAGACTAAAACTCACCACTGCATTGCTTCATCCAAGCCCTCTCCTTTGAGAGCTGACGTCTTGAAGATCTGATACTTCCTACTCCTGAGGGCGGGTAGTCCGAGGGCGGTGGCCACCTCAGAGGGCGACATTGCACCGTCCATGTCCTGTTTGTTCGCAAAGACGAGCAGCATTGCCTTCTTCAGCTCCTCCTCCTGAAGACAAAAAATACAAGATAGTTTAGGAAACTTTTCATTCATACATATAATTATTGCGAATATGCTTCTATTCCGTCATCAATAATATAATAATAATATTCAGTTCATGTATCTATAGCGCATATCACATCATATAACGTCCCAATGCATTTCCAAAGAGCATTGGAACTTATTACCCTAGCATTAGCTCCGGCAGCCGTTATCAGCGCAAAGTGCATTACAAGGAATAATCCTACCAGGTACCCATTTACCTCACCTGGGTTGAGTGTGGCAAATGTAGATTAATGTCTTCCTAAAGGACATTAGTGCCACGGCGGGACTTGAACCATGGACCTTGTGATCCACAGTCCGGCGACGTATCCACTCTACCATGACACAAGCTACATCAGTAACTAAGAAAGTGAAAGTTTATAAAACTTCTGTACAGAGCGAATTGAAGAGGAGCTCCCAAGATTTCTTATTTTTAATGGGCTTGTGTTAAAAATTTCACTGACCCGTTCCTCTCATTTCGCTGCTTCTATTAATACCAACTTAATATCAGGGTGGACTTCCCCTTTAAAACCGACGATATGGGATACATACCTCTAACATGGTGACCAGTTCTGACTTTGAGATGCCTATCCTGTCTCGGTCACAGCTGTCTACTACATAGATGATAGCATCCGTATTGGAGTAGTAACATCTCCAATATGGCCTGGTGGTATGAGGAAGAGAAAGAGAGAGAGAGAGAGAGCAAGAGTGGGGAGGGGGTTGAGAGTGAGAGGGAGGGAGGGAGAGAGAGCGAGCGAGAGGGAGTGGTGAGGGGGTTGAGAGTGAGAGAGAGAGAGAGAGAGAGAGAGAGAGATTGAGATTGAATGGGGAGGGGGTTGAGAGAGTGAGAAAAAGAACGGGGGGGGGGGGGGGGTTGAGAGAGAGAGAGAGAGAGAGAGAGAGAGGGGAGAGAGAGGGGGAGAGAGAGAAATCCATCATTCAATCTAATATTTTCTTCATCACACATACCGGTACTGATACCGGTTGTCAAAATTAAGTTATATGATGTCAAATCTACTTCAGAATTACTGATAACCTTACTTATATTGATATAAACAAAAACAAGAAATTACTAATAATAACAACAAAAACAATTGTCATCATTATAATCATAACAACAACAAAAATAGTGAAAGTAATATTAACAAAATGCGCTCTAGATCCAATGGGTAAAGTGTGCATTGAATGCAACAGATTTATGAAGAGTCAAGCATTGCCATCTCCATCCGTTTACAAGTTCAATCATGTTACCTTGAAGTTCTTACTCAATGGTAAGACCTTTAAAAAAAAAATATGCTTCAGATACTAAATTGGTAATATATCAGAAATAAGAAGATTGGAACTGAGTACCAATACTCCATAAAATCAGTGGTTAAGGTGAAGCCAGACTTTTTGAGGTCTGCTTTTACTTCATATCAGCTATAGGTCGACATGTATTATGTAAGATACATGTAGCCTAAGTTGTACCTGTATTCATATATATATATATATATATATACACAAATTGTTAAATGTTAAGATACTGTATTTTAAAGGTACCAGACACGATTAGCATTTAATGCTATTTTCTGGTCCCTATTTGTCATTTGAGATATTTGTTAAACATACATTTTTTATTGTTGTTATTGTTATGTATTTGAGCATTTGGATAATAAAACCTCAACTCAACCTGAAGGAGAGAGAAATAAAGAAATCCTCCTACTTACCTAATACTCGTTTGACCACCAAGATCCCAGACCTGGAACTTGAGATTTTGGTATGTGACTGTTTCAACATTGAATCCAATAGCTGCCACAGAGAGAGAGGTGAAAAAGTGTAATTTAATGCAAAAACTTCAAACACAAATTAATACAAAGTTAAATTTAATACTGTCACAACCTGGACTATTGCTGAATAAACCATACTCATATAAACATATGCTAAGGTTTTACAGAAAAAGCGTGACATAAAATTGTTAGATCTGGACATTGGATACTGGGAGAAGGTAGCGGATGGTAATTGGATGGGCCTTCTTCAACATCAACTCAGTAAGGCGAGGAAAAGACCAGAAAAAAAGCCAGGAGAAACTGAGGCCCATAACTGAGGCAAATAATACTTATTGTCGGTTGGTTGACAAAACCTCGTACATCAATTTTTTGAGATTTTGATTTTTTTGCATAATTTTGTACCTAATGGCCTACAACACCACCTGATAAATCCATGGAACGCCTCCTTCTCGGTTTTTTCACAAATTCCACACAAACACCCTTAAACTAAACCTTGTAACTTTAACCCCCTTTGAAGCTGCACTGTCAAAACCTCCTAACATAAGATACGTAATTCCTTTTCCTCGTAACTCACACACGGCCTATCAGTACCGAAGTTAGTGTATTCAAATCCTCGTAACTTATTCAACCAAATCCTCGTAACTCATTCAGAGTTGAAAGTAAGAACTCGTATCTCAATTTGAATACAAACTAAAAACTTGTATCTCAATGTAGATAAACGCAAAAACCTTGTAACTCACTTTCAAATATAAAAACAATTATTTTACTGTATTTGAACAATGACATTAAAAATTGTATAAATATTCCAGTTTTAAGAAGAAAGGATGGTGTCACAGCACTAAATTTGTTGAGACAGGAAAGTTTTTTCGCTCTCCTGAAAATTCATGATTTTTGAGATACCAGGTTTTGTCACCCCACCGACGTTATATATGTGGCCGGTGCAAAACGCCATTGAACTAGCAACAGAACATTTACTAGAATGCCCTATCCATGGTCTACTCTCACTGACAGAGGCCTTCTATAAAACTATGAACTTAAAACATGGGTGCATGCATTTCAATCTGGCCACCTAATCTGGCTCACCTTGACAAACACGCTGTATTAACACTTAGATAAGGCAAGGTGCTATGCCAGAGCAACTTTCATCGACTTCTCATCGGCATTTAACACTATAGAACCCCTCATCCTACTACAGAAACTTCGACATCTACAAGTTCAGCCATCTCTTAGACCGAAAGCATGTACAGCAAGAGTAAGACCTATTCATTTACTTATTTGAATTACGATGACTTACTTGGAATGGTTGTGACTACTTCTCCAACTTGTAATCTGTAGAGGATAGTTGTCTTCCCCGCACCATCCAAACCGAGGATCAGAATACGTAGCTCCTTCGCGCCAAACAGGCTACCAAATAAAGTTGAAAAGAAACTCCCTGTTGACACAAAAGAGAAACACAATTTATATTGGAGAATTCAACCTGAAAGTTTACACCAAACTTGTAAACTTTTAATGAAAGAAATGGAAGATAGATGAACTACATGTACATGTATGCAAGGGTTTAGAAAGTTGGTCAAATCTTCTGTCAAATGTCCCCCCTAGGAAGACCCATCCATTCAGAAAGTGTCTCTAAACTGCAAATGAAATACGTTTCTAATTTGAAGTTTGAAGGTGAAACTACGGTACATGTAAAGGGTGTTTCTAAACTGAAATTTAAAGTTGTTTCTAAACTGTGTTTATATTTGTTACTAAACTGTAACTGTAAGTTTTTCCTAAACTGAAGCTTCAGGTTATTTCTAACTGAAGCTCGAAGGTGTTACTAAACTGAAGTTGAAAGTTCTTTCAATATACTGAAGCTTAAAGTTGTTTCTAAACTGAAGTTTAAAGTCAGTTCTTATTATTTTTATTAAAAATGTCCAAAGTATGCACTACATGTAGATGAAACTAATGCCGTTAATGTTATTAGTTTTATCTATTGCATCAGTAATGACCGTCACGCAAGGCAACAACAAAGATGAAAAATGTGATGAATTTGGAATTTTTTGTGACATATTTATCATTGACATCATCTGATAGGGGCATGTCCCCTACATGTATATAACGATGAAAGGGAAAACTTCATCATGAGCCTATCAACTCGCACTCGATCAATTACAATTAGTTCCTCCTCATCTCGTGGCCGTCATCATCACAAATCTCATCCTCCTTGGAGTTAACGACGACCCACCCATAACTGCCCAGGCCCTGGATTATCATGCTGCATCCCTAACATTCATCTTAGATATGCACATTAAACGTTCTGTTGTGAACAAAGCAGCTCCTGCATAAGCTATCTTCACGTCTTGCGATCTTTGATATTATATACCCAGTTTTGACCCAGTTTTGTATTGTCTCTACTATCTATTTACTCAATCTGCGAAGGATACACTCCGCAGTTCTCCAAACCTGGATGAAACCAAGAAGAAGAAGAAGAAGAAGAAGAAGACATTGTCTTGACAGTAGGGGCACTGGTCCGAGAATAAGGACCGTCCGCATAAACAAGGATCCTCTTCGTAAACGCAGACTGACGCGTCCGCATTTTCGCAGACGTTTCACATTTCCGACAGTTCACGATTTTTCTTAATGCATTTTACATTGATTTTGTACAGAGACTTTCACATTATGAGCAATAAATCCTTGGAAAGACGGACAACCTATAAAATTTCATTGAATTGAATTCAATTTCAATTTATTGTCCAATATTGGAAATTTGTTTTGCTTACGGTTTAAAAACGTACAAAGAATCAAATAAGTTTACATAGATCTAGACTACATAAATTATATCATATACTTTTTAATCAAAAATCCTTCAGAATATTGCTAGAGGTCTATACAGAAATTGTCTAGATCTATGTTATTATAAACAAAATACGTGAATTATTTTATACATTCGAGGGAACGGGATGGCCCGGAAAGGTGACAACGAATGCGAGCAAAAATAGTTCAGGCTCATTTTTGAACGAAGCATCACTCAATGAAACGACCGGAAGTTTCAACAGGATCACCTCACACTTCCGTATACTGATGCTGATGCTGAACAATAACATTACAGAAATAAAGAAGAACGTAAAACATTTCAGGTAGCATTTTGATTGTATTTAGTCTACGGATAAAGAAAGGAACAAAGGAATTTAAAAAAACGTTGAGCGCAAAAGTAGACGGTGAACTGGGGTTATTATGCAAAATCTGCTATTCAGATCCCCAGCACGCGGTTTGGAAACCCAGAACCAAGAGCCTGCAGAGCACCGATGAAACTGAAAGAAAACGTCCGTGAATTGCGGACAATCCTCATTCTTGGACCAGCCCACGCCGCCCGGCCCCGACTTTGCTTTGTCAAAGATAACGATTGTTTAATAGACCTAGATTCTAGGTCTAATAATATTAATAATAGCAATAAAGAAAACAAAGAATTTAACATAGCATACATAAACTCAAAAGTTCATAAAAGTACAAGCAAGACTTGACGGTCAATTGTGATCATTGTCACATGATCAGATCATACTCAGCTCAGCTCAGTCACAGAATATATCGAAGATATCTTGCGACACAATTTTTAACGTGTGGGACCAGAGGGATAATTTGTAAGAGAGACACCTTCCGAATCCACGACGGGTATTCCTTTCATTGCTCAAATATTTGTTAATATTACATGTCAAGTACACAATTAAATACATACATTCAGCCAAAAAGTGATAAAAAGCAGGTTTTAAAGTCTTACCCATATTTTATGCCGGTGATGGACTCGGCATACGCGTAAACTTCAACGTGTACAATTTCTATTTTCTTTTCGACCAAACGTATGACGTCACGTGACCCCAGATGACCTCGGCCTCCTATTAATGATATGTATATGTACACGCAATCAAAGTTAGCTTAATCATCTTACAAAAATGGTTTTCATTATAATTTTTTGCTGTTAAGGTGTTTGCCATTTGGCTATCGATGTCATGAACAAAATGGAAAGAAAAAGAATATTATACTACTTGATCATCATGCACATTACTTTACTTTAGTTTTATAGCAGAAGCCAAAACAAAAAACCGCATTGCAATCTAGATCTAAATATTTCTCTACTTTTACAATCATTAAATGTAAATCGTTTCTTTTAAAATAATAATAAAATAATATACTTAGTAATTTCTTTATATTTTTAACCACGAATAATCTCATTCGAATAATAAAAAAGGAATATAAAAGAATAGACTGCGATTGTCTATACTTTGGGGGAAATCCCATATGTGGCGTGGCACTTGATGGTTGGTAGCTGCATACAGTTTTGCATGTAATGAACGTACGCACGCAGTATATTGAATTAGAAAGCGCGCGCTTGGCAGAAGTACATAAACAAACGTGCATAAACGTGCAGATGCATGCATCTTTACCACTGCACCGTACTGTTGTAGAACTAGTGCCAGTGCAGTGGATGGATGAACCCGGACTGTGACTGATGTAAATGCGACTTCTTTTCTTAAACTCGTAGTTTCGAAAGTTCCATTCCACTACCAGCATCATGACTGCTCAGCTTTTTATCGGGAGACTGAGCAAGAATACACGACAGAGAGATGTCGAGGACATGTTTGATTATTATGGCAAAATGTCCAGATGCGAGCTGAAATTTGGTAAGGATTGAATGAATAGTAAACTCTAACTTACTCCTGTCATGTACTGAGTGACAGATGAGATGTTGTTGTCTATGTGATGAGTTAACTGCCTGACTGTGAATGTGTGAGATCATGAGTGAGACTTGATTGCAGATTATGGTTAATAAAAAGTAAACAACACTCAACACTACAACAGTAGACCTAAGTTTATTATTAAAACAATAAAAGGAGCAAGACTAGATCCTCTAGGCCTAGATCTAGACCCTCTAGATTTCTATTGTAATATTAACTAATAAGTTTTAAGATGAACATTTTCAGATCTTTGTGTTTCTGTTTTTGAGGGGTCGGGGTATTAATTGCTTGTAAGTTTAATTTACAATTAATAGAAATAGAATACGATTACAAGGCTAAACATTGGCCTAGCCTAGTATTGCCACTATTGGTTTCATTTTAATGCAATGGGACCTTTTAATTTGATTCAATTCTGATGTTATTTAGATCTAGTCTATGCCAATTAATTGAGTTAAATTTGCATTCTCGCGAAATAAGCCAGTAGTGCTCATTCACTTTGGTCGTAGCTTTTCGTTGCTACTCCCCTACTCCTAGGCTTTACAGACAATTGTGTGTCTATGCACTCGATGATCAGTGGCATATTTCAAGAGAAGGCCGTTAAATCACTGTCTAAACACTGCAGACTTCTGTTGTCATTTGCATTGAACTTCAGAATGTACCCTACCAATAGGGTTTATCTTTATGAACGTCCAACACCTAAGGTTCAATAGAGTTAGGATTAGATTTAGGGTTAGTGTCACCTTAGAAACTTTAGTCTTTAGATTTAGCTTAATTGGTGGAGCGTTGATTTGCCTAAGAACGACTAGTCATTTTTTGTGGTGGGGTATTCTAGAGTTCCGTAATTTGTTTATTCATGTTAATTAAAGATAAACTTTAGTACTGGTAATGCGATTGCATTGTGAAAGAAAAGGTTTGGAAAGGATCAGAAACAGTTGATCATGTAGCATGTAAGTATTGGTGTGCACTGCAAGGTTCTGGAGTCACCAAAATCATAATAAATTTGACCGAGTCTTGGTAAAGTAACAAGCACTCACATAGAAAGCTATATATGGGACAACACACATGGTGTCGGGGCTAGTACTACCTTGATTTCCTTGTCTTTCTATGCTCATTACTCAGCCAGTATACATTTTCTTCCAAAATTGTTTGGCACATGTCATTTTTTTGTAATCTTGAACATTCAATGTAAGTTTCGTTTGATTCTGTGGGAATTTTTTTTTTTTTTTACCAGTACTGGAGTTTATCTTTAAATTATAGCATACTGCTCAGTACTCTCACCTCTAATCTGATGAAAGAAAACTTTGATCTTGTCACAAGAATGTCATTCATTTAATCATTTGATATTACTTACTAAATTGTCTCAATTTCAAAGTCAAAGATTTGTATCAGTCAGAAAAAAAGCTCAGGACCTCTTGGTTATTAAAGAGACCATTGCTCTACCACTGAGCCATGTGCCCTCCTCTTTTGCATTTTGCACTGACCCAAATTACATTAATTTTATTGGCCTTTGATTTTTCTTCAAAAGGCTATCAGTATGGACAGTTCAAGTTGTACATGTATGTAGACTTGCCCTTGAAAGGTGGAAGACTGTTGTTGTGTTTCAAGATTGAACTGAAACTAAATCAATGTTAAAGGCATATTGTATCTATTGTACACTTGTAGCATGAGAATGGGGAAGAGTGGCAGAGAAACAATTCACTGCACTTTGATATTTTAGCACTTCTTGAATCAATTAATTGTCTGAAAATAGTTGCTCTCTTCTGCTTTATAATGGTGTTTTTCATATGTTCCTTAGTGTATACAGTTTAGGAAGACATAGGGCAGGTTAAGTAAATTATATGTTTGTATATTATATACCCAAACAAAATGGGGGAAAAATCAAGTTGTTGTACTTGTTGTGAAGGATTTGTAATGTGTAAACTACACACAGTCGCTCACTTCATTTTGATCATTCTTAGTCAGGAATTTATTTTTAGGGCTACATTGCTCACAATCATCACATGGTGTTCTTCAAACTGGAAACAGTCATATTTATCTTTTATTGCTATATCATTAGAATATAACATAACATACCGGTAATGTCTGTCAACAATGTACATGGGTATATTGTCAAGAAATATTTGATATATTTGATAGAAAAACAATCATGTTGAATCTATGAACGTGTTGCCAACTTAAGGATCATAATGCTTTTTTTCCCTTTTTAAAATTCCTTGCCTCAAACGCAATATAGCCATGAAACAAAAATAAAAACAGTGGGTGCAGAAATTTTTGGTATTTCTACTCATGTAACCGGCAGTTTTTTTTAGGCTCGGAATCAAAATGTATTGAGCCAAACCACAACATGTGGAAATGGAATAATTGTGGCAAAAGGGTTGATGAGAGAAGATATTGATAAACAAAGGAGAAAAAAAACGTATGTCCTTGATTATAAATGTAGTTGTACATGTACAGGTAGCTGGTTTATGTGTAAACAATACTCAGTCCCTCACTTCATTGGCTGCTGATACCTGTTTGAGTTTTAACCAAAGAAAATCTACTTTCATATTGGTTATTTGTTATGCTTACTTGCTTATTAATAAAGCTTGACTACTGCACTTTTTAAATTTTGTATTCATTGATAGTTAATATGGGTAAGCAAACCCAAGAAGATCCATATATCAGACAGTACATGAACACATTTTTAATAAATGCTCCTATTCAAGCTGATGAAATTGATAGATAATAATAATAATAATAGCCTAATAGTCCACTCCAAATTTTATTAAACCGAAAAGCAAATTCTTTTTGCCCAATTGATCGTGAGCCCGGCAGCCACTGAGCAGCGCCAGATCGACGTTGCTCTATCCCTTATTGTTGAACGCCAAACAAGGTAGCAACAACTCCCATCTTTTAACATCTTTTGGTATGATGCGGCCGGGTTCGAACCCACGACCTCCCGGTTGTGAGGCGGACGCTCTACTGACTGAGCGAACACACACGTCTATAGATCTATATTCATCCATGTAAAATATCAAATATTGTGATACTTTTTATGTCAGGTACAGTCAAAAGCTGTCTATAGCAACCACCCATGGGTAACCCAAAAAGTGGCCGTTAGTACATGTTTCAATGAGAAACCATTTTCAAGGGAAACATATTGTGATGCTTTTTATGTCTGGTATTTGTATGTGACCATGTGACATAACAAATTGATGTTCATGCTTTATTTTACGTAGTTTTACATCAAAATGTTATATTTGTCAAATGTATTATTTTTAATTCAGTGTTTTTGATTTTCTTTTCCTCTTTTTCTTTGATGTCATAGGTTCTGGCATGGGTAAGTACAATATACGATTTATGTGTACATTGCAGATCAATATCTCATAAAACATCTGATTAAGAAATGTAAAAGGTTAATGGAAGTAAAATGTTCATGTAACTAATGTGCAATGTGGGGGGGGGGGGGAGCTCACTGTCAAGCATTTAAAATATAGAAATATATCCCATATTTTGTGTTTTTCAAATTACATGTACTTTTAAATAAAAAGAACCACTTTTGTTGTGGCAATTTTTGTCTAAACTCTTTTTACGGGAAGAGTTAATGGCAATCTGATTTGTTTTGTTTGGGGAGGGAGGGGGCATTTGTTTCAATTTATTCATATACTTGCTGTCCTTGAAGAAAAAAAAACCTACCTGATTAAAATGTTGAAAATATGAGAAAGATTAAAAAAGGCTGTGTTTTCAGAAGTCGTTGGATATCATTTCCTCTTTGTGTTTTTCTTTACAGCATATGCCTTTGTGGATTATGTCGACAAACGTGATGCAGAGGTACGTCTGAGATTTTTCTTTTTCTTTTTTAAAGATAATATTTTTTGTACAATATTGGGTATTTTGCCAGTTTATCTGCTTTGAGACATTGTTCAAGTTAAATGTCAATATTACAGTTATGATGTTATTAGAGTTGATGAACAGACCGTATAACATTATTTCTGCCCCACCAATTCTCTGGTAATTAGATGCCAGTGGACTCTGGCCTCAGCCCTTCAGATCAACCTCAGTTCCTGAAAACTGTTTAGTGCGACAGTACATTGTATGTGTCGATAAGTGCCTACATGTTTTTATATTTATTGTGTGATCATTTTTTCCTTCCCATATGCCATGTTGTTCCAACTCTGCGTCTCGTTAAGATTCCGTATAATGAAATTCTAATTCTTGGTATTTTGGACATGATATTCATCTTAAAGGGATCGTTTAACAATGTTAAATCTGAGATACACGGTTCTACATGTTACCAGTGTCTGTCATATGGTGTAATATTGAAGCCCTAAAAAAAATCGCGCTTCAAAATGATCAAGAAGTGCCTCAAAAAATGTACAAATCTTTGAGTGACCGGTTTTACCAGACTTGTTTTCCCCAATAGACTGTAGTGTTATGAAAACCGTTCAGCGAACGGTTTTCAAAATTTGTAATTCCAATCATTAATATCTTGATAATCAGACAGGCGATCGGCTTGTAAAAGTTATGGAGTTCCTGACTGACTTAAAGGTTTATAATTATCGTTGCAGCATGAGCTAAATCAAGGATTATTTCTAAAGGATCTCAGACAAAGTTACCGGATCCCTTTAAGTGAAAATGACATCCGTTCGAAATAAATACCCATCTAAATTTTTTTTAAAAAATTTCCCTCAGGTAGTCATGCCGAAAACACTGTGCTAAGCCTCGTTCCCTTTTAAACCCTGACATCAGTTTTTTTTTAAAATCAAACCACAGCAATCCAATATATTTTTACTTGAGTTACATTAGCCAAAGAACAAAATACACACCTTGATAAAGGTACGTACATGTACAAGTATGATCGACAAACATGGAACGTGAAAAACAGCCGTGGTTCAGGAAGATCAATTCATTTGTTGGTATCTTGGCGTGATGCCATTGGGAAGTACAATTAAATCACATGTTTGGTAACCTTGGGGGTTTTCCATTTTTTTAAACACTATTCCATGACATTCTGTTGGAATTTTAGGCAGGTTTGAAAAGAGATCAACTTTTTCAGCAAGTTGATTGTTGCAAAGACCTATTAAGTCCATGCTTGGTATGTTTGGTAACTTTGAGGTTTCCTTTTTTTTAAACACTATTCCTTGACATTCTGTTGGAATTTTAGGCAGGGTTGAAAAGAGATTCACATTTTTAGCAAGTTGATTATTGCAAGGTTCTACTGGTTCCATGGTTGTTATTTGCAGGCAAACCAAGCCTTCAGGATAATTCTTTTCCTGAACCTCACCACAATTAATTTCAAAACATGCACATTTTAAAATGTCCCACACAAATCTTGCCCTGTTGGTAGATGGTATTCGAGTGTACCAATCACTTATTTTCTGTATAAAGTCAATCTCAAAATATGTACCTGGCATTCTAAAGGTTAACATTTAATACAGAGTTTGAAGAAAAGGATAACATACACATTGCGTAATAAAACTTAAATCCGTCTTGGGTTCCACTCGCTCCCTATTGTATGCGAGCATGTTTATGTGCGTCAACTAGATTTTGAATACAGTATAGTAACACCATAGGGGTGTTATACAAAGATCCTAAGTCGAACTTAACTCTAATTTGGAATTAAACATTATGGAGAGCCATTTGTAGCCTTAAAATGAAATGACAATAAATTCAAAGTATTTTAGACTCATCATAAATTCCACATCAAAAACATGAAATCTCCTTGAATATAAAATATGAATGACTTGAATCAACATTTTATGCCTTTTAAAATACCTTGTACAAAATATTTTCAAAGATGCTAAATGGCTTTTCATAATTTTTAAGTCCAACTTAGAGATAAGTTCAACTTAGGATCTTTGCGAAACACCCCCATGTTTTACTGAATGATACACTTAATGCAATCATTAACTATCTCAGATGTTTACAAATATGCATTCCTTTAATTGAGCGGGAGTCTTCAATATTTATTCATTAATAATTGATGATGATAATGTATGAGATATGTAGGGCCCCCAATCCACTTGAAATCAATGCACAATTAAGGTGCACTTGTGATAAAAAAGGAAAAAAAGAAGTTAGACAGTTTCACACGAGGGGGCAAAGTCTAATCTCATATCTCGTATCCGATGCTGCTCATTAGGCCTGTCCTCATCAGCTCGAGATTGCCAAATATCACGTTATTTGAACTATCCCGATCGCAAATCATCCAGTTAATTTTCGTCTTCATGAGCCCGAAGTTGCAATTAGCGGGTAATTTGGTCGAGATAATCATCTCAAGATATCTTGGGCTAGTTTGCAAAATATCCCGCTATTTGGCAAAATATCCTGCTATTTGTCCGGTGCGTTTTCACCAGCCCGAGCCCAACACTAAGCAAACTATCTTGAGCTAATTTCTCGAACTTGAGTTTCAAGGTCAAATCTCGAGCTGATGAAGACGCGATTTGTACCTTCAGAATTATTTCCCAAATCAGAAATAGCGGGCTATTTGGCAATCTCGAGCTGATGATGACAGACCTTTTTTAGACTCCTCTCTTCTGAGTTTGCTTTGAATTCATGAGCAAAAAAAAACCACCTTTCAGTGTAAAGCATCTATAGACAATTAACAACATCACACATAGGGATCGTGTTTTCAATTAATGTTCATGTGCACTGCAGTTAATAGCCGTATGGTAGAAGTGCTCATACTTCTGTATTGATTTATGAGCAACACCTTTCTATCACATTTGAGTGGATCATAAATCATTGTCATCGCCATCTGAGCAATTAAATGTAGTGTATTCGATTAAAAGGAAAGTGAATCCATAGTTAAGTTCATTCGACAGTCTGTTAACACTGAGTTTAGGTTAAAGTTTTAAACTTTGAAGTTATCTTGTAGTTGGGGACCGTGAGGACACACTCGTTATAATGAAACTTTGGGTTAATGCGAAGTTACAAACCATAACTGGCGGGGTGTTTCACAAAGACTAAGATCGACTTTAAGTTTGACTTAACTATGGCAGGCCATTCATGCCACTGTTTTCTCTCACCATTTACTGGCATTGGTCTCTCAAGGGACGTACAATTACAAATCATGGTCACATATGTACAGAACTTACAGTTTTTGATAATTCATTATTGAAGGAAAAGCTATTATCTAAAGATCATAATGGTGAGAGCAACCAGTGGCATGAACGGCCTGCCATATTCAAGTGATTAAGCCCAACTTAAATTTGATCTTAGTCTTTGTGAAACACCACCTAGATCTTTGAGGTTAGTGCCATGATTATGAACAGCGGTGGGGGAGGGGGGAGGGGGAGGGGGATCCTCATTCAAAGTAAAAAGTTATCCTGTGTGGACCCAATCAAATTGAGGTTACCTAAGCTTGTAGTTATAACTTCAGATACTTTTTTTTTCAGTCCCTTGTGGACCCTTGTCATTGTAAGTGGATCGTTGTTTATTACTTCTAGGTTTTGCAAACTGAAATTTAAAACTTTGATGACTCCAAGTGAATATGTTTTCAAAACAAACTAATCTCTTAAAAGGTATGGAATTTTTTTAATAGATTATGATTTGATTGGTAGTAGTCATGTACAGTACATGTACTTCTACATTTAACAATATTCACTTTTTGATCAATTTTATGGGAAATTTATGAGGTGACCCAAAACCTTGAACTTGCTCTTTGATTGATTATCATAGATCATACAGTCAGACCTGCCTTTAATACTGGCCACCTGTCTTTAGTGGTCCACTATTTTGTCTCCCTTGAGAAAGAAATGTGTGTTTTTACTATCTTAGCACCTGACTACATGTAGAAACTAAAAGGCTACCTGTCTACTGTAGCCACTTTTTTTGTTTGGCCTTTATAGACAAGTTAGTATATAAATAATACACAGCAGTGAGGGCATTAGTAAGAATTACCCACACAAGGTACCTTCGGGAAAGTCTAACACGCCCAAGGCGATAGCCGAGGGCGTGTTAGACTTTTTCAAAGGTACCGAGTGTGGGTAATTATACTAATGCCCGAACAAAATGATGTGTATTATTTGTTTTATAAAATTATAACGTGGATCCTTGCTATTTGATCAATCGCCCTTATCTCAAACTCAAAGGCCCGATTTCACAAAGGAGATTTAAATCTAACTCATGGTTTAAATTCTCATTTACATAACCCATGGTTTAAAATAAGCGCAATTGAGGCGTACCTTGCCTTGCGCGCGTCTAATATTAGTTAGACCTCTGACTTGTGTCGCGTTTATTTTGCGCTAATTTTTAGCTACATGTGTAGATGTGGTAATGACCGGTCATTACCACTGGGTAATGACCGGTCATTACGCGTTAGCATTACGCGTTAGGCAAAATAAATGCCTGGTCACGTGTACGCTCTCAACCAATCATTTGATTAGGATCTACGCCATCATCTTACATGTAGCTTTCCTGTTATTGCTGTATATCTCTTTTGGAGCAACAGTTTTATCCACTTCAGTACAGTTCTCTACTTCCTCGTACACATAGTTTTCTCTACAGTAGCTTCCATGATCTTGTATTAAATAATAAAATTAAAAGAATCTATTTTCAGTTTCACAGGCTGATTGTGAGATAATGAACAGCTTCCTCCATTTTCCTTGTTTTGTGCCAAAAAAATCGGCTGTCTCTTTCACTTTTGATAGAATTCTCCCAGATAGCAGACAACAAACATGTTTTGAAGTACAGCAAAAACCGTAACCGCCTCTTGCATTTCTTTTGTTAGATTCCCTTTTGAAATTGTAACCAATTTCATGGAGCACTTGGCTCAGCCTTTAAGCAAATCAATCTTGAAAAAGTAGTTTCATGTTTACTTGAATACAAAACTTTTTTTTAGAAATACCATATTTCGATGGGGGCGGGGGGGGGGGGGGGGGGGGGGGGGTTGAGGGGAAAAGGGTGTTATTGTTTAATTCTATATATGTCCTTGCTAGTGCTTTCCAAATAAGAACGAACAATGTTTTTTCTGGATAATTATACTGATGCTGAGTACAGACTGCACACATGTTCACACATTCACAGTGCATTGTCATGTCTTTATCACATCATTATCACAAGCCGTAAAATTTGCAGCCCTATACAACTTTTTTTTAATGCTTTTAAACTGAAAAAACAAACTTGTGATAGTAATAGCTTATAAAGCACATTTACACAGTACCAAAGCTACATCTACATGTACATGTAGAATTTGACACTGTATTATTGATATCTTGATTTCTTTCTTCTACATACATACAATGTATCTTATCCACAGTACACATATGTGCAAGTGTATACTAGGGCCAGTTTTTCAATTCAATACTAAGTTATCTCAAAGTTGCGAGTATTTTAGCCAGTTTTTAGCTTAGATAAAATACTCACTATCAGCCAACTGCGATATTCAGTTTAAGCTTTTGCGGGCTGAGTATTTTGCCGAAAGCTTGAGACAGCTTCCAAACTGATTTATGCCAACTGTTCGAAGACCTTGATTGGCAGGCATGTATTTTCATGTTTAGTCAAACCTGTCTATTGAGACCGCTCAAGGGAAACACAAAAAGTGGTCTTTGTAGACAGGTAGTCACTTAAGCAGACCGTAGTTGATTATAAGCTACCCGGTATGCACAATTATATCAGCATCACATTGGCTGTCGGTAAAGTATCTTGCCTTAAATTTGGCTTTATTTAAATGAAAATGATTCGTAGATCTGATCTGAAAATGAATTGAGCCATTTTATGAAGCTAAGCTGAAAGCTAAATGCAAAGTTAAATACTAACATCGATGAAGTATTGATAAGATTATGCGCCCCAGGGAACTCTAATCTTGAGTCCCCTGGCTACATTATGGAGCATTCATGCTATAGAGTACTCAAATACTTCAATACATGAAGTAGGTACTTGTACACGTGTCAGTACTGTACATGAACAGATATTGAAGACTCTATTTCCTTGTGTTTTGGAGCGACCCAAGATAGTGTATGAACCATGGCATTTATACAAAGTTCCAAACAATGGTCTGTATTAAATATTGGTTCCATGAAATCAGCTGTTCAGAGCCAAGAGGGTGCTAAATCTTTGTTAAAGTATATCCGAGTTAGGGCCCTTCTGGCCCCAAACAGACATTTATGATTGCTCAAACAGAAAAACCACAACAAAGGATGTTTGGGAAATATTTTTCTCATTGTCTGCAAGTTGTTTTGCAGAAAGACATTTGCTATAAATAGCCTCATAGTAGTATATGTATCATGTACGGTTAATGGATTCATGTGTTAAAGGTATAGACCAGTTTTGGAAAGGCCCCCCTCTCAAAAAAATAAATGGAAGCTTTTATTAACAATCATGTGAAATAATATGTTTTGACTAATACGTAATGATACAAATTTTGCAGAGAAACCGCCTACTAATTGATATATTTGGTAAAATATTATATCTATTTGGACCTGATAGATATAACGCATGTGTCACATAGTCCCATATACATCTTTCTGTGTACAGTGCTTGTAACTTTACGAAGACTGAGCCAAATTTCTTAGCATTTTGATGATTCCATTTTTCTATGCAGAATCCTACTGCAGCGTAATAACATTATCATGGTAGCCCTAGAACGGATACTATAGCGCATTGAAAACGGACAGGCGGTTTAGTTGGTAATCGGTTAAAGGATATTAGCCTGGCCCAGTACCTAGTGCTTTTTATTTCATCTTTTTTAACTTGACATGACACGCCTCCACTTGAACAGAAATTGCTCTCAGATAATCTATTTGTGAAATACTGGTAGGTGACATATATATTGATTATTATCTTTCACAATAACAATGTTTGACAATGCATTAAAATAATAAACAGTACACAGTATATAATTACGCATCAGATTAGCACGAACAAGAATATAATCGTACATTAAAGCCCCACTGCACTACTTCTAGCTACTAACTTGCGCCCTCTACAGGGCAAACTATCCCTTATTGGTGCCTATTGGTCCCCCATGATCCTCTTTTTCTTATGTTAATTGAGAGCTGATTTGATGAGATAACCCACCTGTCAGTGACCGTGCAGGTAGGTCTAATCCCACCTGGCCAAACTAGTACAGATGGGCTTTAAGTTTAAGAGTTAAAGATACTGAAGGGCTTTTTAAGCACGTTTAGCTTGATATGCTTGCAGCCAAGAGACATTGAGTTTTTAACAAACTAGTAAAAGGTATTATAAGAGTTTTATTAAAAGACTTTCCAGTTTTCCGTCTCAAACATGTTTGTGTGAATATCACTGTGGCCCCCATGTGCAGCTAAGTTTTTACGACATGATCTCTTTCTGCACTAACAGGCAACTTTTCTTGGTAGGGTCAGAGTAGTGAATTATATCCCAAAAAAATTGATTTGTTGAAATATTATTGTTGCCAATTTGAAGATTGTTGTTCAAAATTTAACCCGAAAAATATATCCTGTCTGGAAAGGGTTTAAAAAAAGTTTGGAACCGAGGCCTTTTTCACAAAGCCCTTTGTCAATGACAAATTATGAATATCAGTGACAAATCTGCTGATAAGCAATCAGAAGCAAGGATTTAAGTAGCTATATATTAAACAAAAACTGTCATTTGGCACTGAATAAAAGTTTTGTGAAATGGGTTTCTACATGTGACATCATTTTGAAAGAAACTGTCTCGAATTGGTAAATGTTGATTGCAAGTGTCCTTACAGTAGTAAATATGAATCGATGTATAGTGTGAGGTTTTGGACTGATAAAAATGGAAAGAAGACGACCCAATCATGCTGAAGATGTAACATGATTTGTTGCAAAATCGCATGGAAGGCCTTTTTATTACTTTGTTAATGGCTCAACAATTTGACATTTCAATTAGAATTGTACAATTGATTTATACCTGTGTGGTGATAACTGTTTGGATCATTTCTTAATTTCATTTTTTTTTTTTTTCATTTATTCATTTATTCATATTTTTGAAATGCATTTATTTATTTATTCATATTTTTTTACATTTATTTATTCATTTATTAATTTTTTGAATTACAGGTTGAAAGAGTCGATTTACCAAGAATTACCCAAATATTTAGAAAGCTGTATTAACATTAACATGAGAAATATTATGAAAAATGCAATACCTGAGAAACATGGTATACAAATATATAATGATCAATGCAAACTAATTACCTTCAATAAATTCAAATAATTGTTGTCTCAATTTCTATTTTTCATCTCCGGCTGGCCTTAGCTTTCTGAACCTCTTCTTCTCCTCCTCTTTGGGAAGCGGAATGAATGAAACTCTACCCCAAGTTCTACCAAAAGTTTGACGATTTAGAAAAGAATTGGGTCATCCCATCCATGACTTGAGCCACAAGGGGTCAAGGTTGAACTACCGGGCAGGCAGGCAGGGCAGTTTGTCGGCTTGACCGTTGACCGTTTGCTCGGCTCTGAATTCCAAAATGACGATTCTGAGCAGAGTATGTGTGATTTACGTTTAAAAAGAAAAGAAAGAAGGTGTCGTTGTCGTGTCTGTTTCATGTATGGTACCGGTATGTCATGAAGGGGGTGCAATTAACCCCCTTTTTTGTTTGCTCTTCCAGGGAATAATTGATTAACCCTGAATGTAAGATGTAAAAATAATGATTTTTTTTTTTGTACATGCACAAAACAGGAGCCAAAATACATTATGCTTACCGTTAACTTCAGAATATGTTTTTGGAAATACATTTGGTATTAAATCAAGATTAAATCTTGAATCTTAAGTTTTTTTTTCAGTATCTAATATTATTACTCTATAAGTGACATTTATAAAATTCTACTCAGCTATATACATGTATACAGGAACCTAAAAGACATTGTGATAAGGGGGGAAAATTCCCTTTATTTTTCCCTCATTTTTTTTATTTTGATAGACTACCTGGATTTTTTTTTAAAAATAAAGAATTTAAAAAATGTTAGAACAAATGTGGCTCTCTATTTTTATACATTTTTTGTTTACAGCAGTTGCAAAATCATACTGTTGTGGGGTTTATAATTGTAGTTTAAAGTTTTCAATGCAAAGTATACTTCCATATGCATATGTGGATACATAAACCCCAAAGTCTAACATTTGAAATAGCAGGATAGTTATTTTTGTTTACAACCACCCTCCCCCTCCCTTTGTTATTGTTCTGCCATTCATTCAAACCTGTCTATCATCTTGATAGTACTATCTTTCTAGTCTTCATTCTTTTTCTCTCTGCTCGTATATTCTCTCCACCCCCCCCCCCACCCCGGATTGCTGTGCTGCATGAATGCTGGAAAATCATGTGACTCCCTTTCCCTATCTCTGTCTTTGTCTCTGTCTCTCCCCATCTCCGGCTCTCCCTCTCTTTTCCCCCTATCTCCCTCTCTTCTCCCCTATCTCCCTCCTCTCTTTCTCTCCTCCTCTCTTTCTCTCTTTCTCTCACACTCTTGAGCTCCCATTCTCTCTCTTTCTCTCTCTCCCCCTCTCTCTCCCTTTCTCTCCCTTTCTCTCTCTCTCTCTCTCTCTCTCCCCTCCCCCCCCCACAATACACACACATTACACCTCTCTCCCGTAGTTCAGCCATGCTTCATATTAAACTACCGACTGCCACCCCTCTGCCTCTCCCCCCCCCCCAATATATATATACTTAAACTAAATTCTTTAATGTATTATGACAATTGTTTTTCTCTTTCACGTTGTTTGTAGGATGCGATCAAGCATGAGAACGGCAAGGAACTCAATGGCCAGAGCATCGTGGTAGAGTGGGCCCGAGGACCAAAGAGGGGTTTCGTGAGTATTTCTTCTCATAATTAAAATTGTATTGACTATAATCCAAACAAAGAGGATCATTCTCAATTTTTTTTTTAAATCAAGGGATAAGTTGAGTTGAGTTGAGTTGAGTTTGAAGTTTTTTATTATTCAAACAAAAATTACATCAATATAACCAAAGAGATACTACGTGTTTAACATTGAAAGGATAAATGGGACCAGAAAATAGCATTTCTATAACAAAAGTCTAAATTATAATGCAACAAAGAGAATTGAGTGCAAATATTTAAATTACAATAAATAAGAATGGCAAAAATTAACATGTCATTTTGAATCTACGTACTCCGCACAAGATGATGTCACCAATTCAATGGCTAGGTTTTAGGTCCACAAGCACCAATTTTCAAAGCTTTAGACACTGACAGACACTTAAATAGCATTATAATAGATATTATTGTAAACTACGGCTCATAAATTTTCCATTGATATAATTATAATTGTTCTATTTTTAGCTTTCACTTCAGACAATCTTTAAGGACAAAAAGGCCTTGTGGGGATATAAAATCACACCATTTGTACATTCGCATATATACAGCCAAATCGGTCTATAGCAACCACCCAAGGGAAACACAAAAAGTGGTCTTTCTAGACAGGTTCCTTTAGTACATAACATGTTTCAATGAGAAACCATTTTCACGGGAAACAAAAATATGGTCTTTGTAGACAGGTTGTCACTAAAGCAGGTTTGACTGTATCTCTCTCTAGTCAAGTGTTTTAACCGCTCTCTTTCCTCTCCCATTCTCTCAGGAGGACGATGAGTGCTATCGATGCGGGCGCAGGGGCCATTTTGCTCGTGATTGCCGAGATGGAGGAGGAGACTACGGGGGTGGCAGGAGACGAGGCGGTGGTGGTGGATTCGGAAGAGGCGGAGGAGGTGGAAGATGTGAGTGTACTAGCCCACTTGCCCCCCTGGTAGCCCGAGGGATTATCAAAACATAACAATGCACCAGGGACTGTATAAACAATATAAACAAATAACCAGTTTTTAAATGTTTTTTAGGCCCCCAGGAAAGAAACATTCATAAATCTTTGCTATTGTTATTGTTATTTGTTATTATGTTTGACATTGAAGTTAACATTTTAATCGTATCTCAAGGACGAGGTCAAAGGTCACAGGGCTCATTATATATGCAAAAACAGCTCGTGATCGCGTTATCTCAAGAACCGATTGATGGAATCCTGCCAAACTTAGGTCATGTATGTATCTTGCAGAGCCGATGAATTGATTAGATTTTGGGGTCACGAGGTCCAAGGTCACAGTGCTCATTATGTATGCAAAAATAGCTTGTGATCGCGTTATCTCAAGAACCGATTGATGGATTCCTGCCAAACTTAGGTCATGTATGTATCTTGCAGAGCCAATTAATTGATTAGATTTTGGGGTCATGAGGTTTGAAAAATGACGTACAATATTGGGCAGCAACATGATTGGGACTCTTTTTCAAGCTAATATTCCTAAAGTAAACTACACAGGTACACTAGAAAGGGCAAATATCCTTGTCATTGAAAAGTTATCTAAAATATAGAAATATATATACATTTGATATAGATTTGACCATTAGTTCACCCGTATTATATAAAGTGCTAATTGTCACTTTCTCCATTTCATACAAATTCTTTTTTGTGCTGATTCATCACAGCTATTTAACAAACATATTCATCAGCTTTCAGTTGCATTATTTTAGATCCTGAGATTAAATGTTTCTCTCATTTTTCCTCCCTTTGCTTTTGATTTGCAGCTTTCGGATACTCGAGGTGAGTCTCAATCATTATTCATGTAATATTTCTTTCGTAATTAAAGATAAAGTTGAGTTCTGGTCATGCGATTGCATTGTGAAAGGAACGGTGTGGAATCGATCAGAAAAAGTTGATCAGGTAGGATATAAGTATTCATCAAATATAAGGAGTCATCAAAATGATAAGAAATTTGGCCCAGTCTTCGTAAAGTAACAAGCACTGTACACAGAAAGATGTGTATGGGACTACACAAACATGTGGCATAAAAATCGGGCCTAGTTTGGCCAGGGGAATTAGACCTCCCTTCAAGGTCACTGACAGGTGGTTATATCATCAAATCAGCTCTCAATTTAACATAAGAAAAAGAGGATCATGGGGAACCAACAGGCACCGATTAGGCATTATTTGCTATATAGAGGGCGCAAGTAGCTATAAGTAGTGCAGTGGGCTTTAAGTGATGTTTTCAATGTGTTTCTGTCATCCCTTTCTCTTCTTCCGTGGTTGCAGTAGACGTCGTAGCCGTAGCCGAAGTCGAGACCGCGACAGGAGTCGCAGCCGTAGCCCTGACCGTCGAAGACGCTCTCCGTCGCGCTCCCGGAGCAGAAGTCCAAGAAAATACAGCCGATCCCCATTGTCCCCAAGGTCCCCCAGACGATCAAACGGTCAAGATCGTACCCATTCCAGGACCCCGGATAGAGGCAGATCACCATAGTAACGATCACAAGTAGTGGCAGATCTAGCTAAGAAAGTGTATTTTCATCTGCCTTTCGTTGTTTGAGGAATTTCTCCTTCTCATTTTTTGGCCATATGAGGCATTTTGTATCCTCATGTAAAATTGAAACCTTTTCCTTCTATGTTATCAATGCATTGTGTAACCAGTTTTATATTACTGATTGATGATTTGTAGAAGCAATACTAATGTTTTTTCTAGATCTCCCACAACTTCTTTATTTCGTAGGTCGACAATTTAGCACCTTAAACTAGGTTATTGTTCTGAAATTAGACTTTCAGAGAACATTTGTTATGAACAGTACTGTGCGTTTTTTTATTTTTATGATTGAATGGGACCCAAGTTGAAAGTTCATCAATGCTTTAATTACCATCTGCTGTTAGATTTGTCATTACTTCAAGCAATTTTGAATAAAAATATAATGGTTTGTGACTTTATGATATTGTCTAGTATATGGAAAACATTGTATTATGAATAATTGAAGTTAAATCTTTGAAAATGTGAATTTATTGTAACAAATTTTGTATGAGCTAAAAGATAAGAGAATTTAGTTGCCTGATTGAGTTTGCCAAATAAATAAGAGTCAATCGTATCACATATATTAAAGAGACAAATTATATTTTACCAAGAAAAAGAAGATTATAATTATAAAATCCTTTTAAGCTCTTCAGTTTCGGTACCAAGTGCACAGTTTGCAAAACATTTTTTCATCTGTGATATTACGGTATTTCTAGTAATCAGTGAGAACTGTACTTAGGTTTTGCAAGTTTTTTTTCCCAGATGATCCTACATATTCAAATTCTTGTGGTGGGTATCTTTAGGATGAATTAGCTAGAATTGACAAGTATTGTTTCAAAGACAACGAAAGGGTACATGGTATTGATGCTGCCAAAAGTTAAGCTTTAGTGTTACTTACAATTTTTCTTGTTCCTAATTTCCATCTCATTTTATACTTGGCAGCTTACCCAAATATGCTGCAAAAACAATTTAAGAATTGTCCTCTTTTTGTGTGTGTCTTTGCTGATATTTGAACCGAACTTGGATTTTCACAAGCTACTATGGCCCTACATATTCAGATTAATGTGGTGTGTAAATAACTTTGCACTGTGGTCCCACATGTTTAAATTTTTGTCTTGTTCATGAAACAAAGTATTTCCATTAGGTATTCACAAATGTATGTGTCAGAATTTAAATTGTTTGCATTCAAAGTGGGGATATAGAGGATAAAAGCGAACCATTCTTGTGTGAATTGTTGTAAATAGATTTGATAAATGTACTCAGATTTGTTGAAGTACCTGTAAGTGTATTTTGCCAAATGAGAGGATTTGTAAATATTCCAAAAGTTTTCATTTTTTTTTGTATGCGACGAAAGAGTCGCAAATAGTATAAGGTCTGTTCATACTTGTGGGTTAATCGGTTTGAAAAAATGCTGCAGCAACTTAAAAACTCATGTCGTTTAAAAGAATAGTTTTAACCTAATGTTATGAGTTTAAAACATAGCTTTCTTCAACAGTATATTTATCCATACAATAGCAGATATAGAGGAATGAAGTGTAGTATACTTAATTTTCCAAGGCAGTTTTGGAGGAAGGGGTTTTGAAACTGACTTTGTATGAATGGACATACACTGTGGTGATAATGACAATAACTTTCTGTTGTTAAAAAAAAACTTTTGTAGAGATGCTATATGAGGTAGGCCTCTTGTTTGTCAAGAAAAAAATTTCATGTTGCGTTTAGATAAATTAGATTTTAGAGTAGTAATATTAATTTTGTTTTTTTGCGTTACTTGCAAGGGAATAAAGTGTTTCTATTTTTACATTGCATGAACATTAAACATTTATTTTCTTTCAATTTAAATGATTTAACATTGTCAGTTTGATGATGGCCATTTGTAATCCTGATGAGAAATAATAACGTGCTTCTATACATATATTAGTAACCACCCTTCTGCTTACATTAAGTTAAAGATAAAGTTGAGTTCTGGTCATGAGATTGCATTGTGAAAGAAACGGTGTGGAATCGATCATAAAAGTTTGAACATCTTTATAAGTATTGTTGTGTATTGCAAAGTTCTGGAATCATCAAAATGATAAGAAATTTGGCCAAGTCTTGGTAAAGTTACAAGCACTGTACACAAAAGGATGTATATGGCACTACACAAAGACGTGGCGTAAACATCTGTAGCGATCTTTATGATGTTACGTACCATATTTAGAATATGAAAGCAATTGAAGAGCCATGCTTTTCGGGGAACATGTTTTATCTGATCTTCTTCCACCCTTGCATAATAACAATAATAACGCTCATTAATTATTTTTCACCTCTTCCCAGAACTCAACCTTATCTTTAAAACCATTTTAAGATTTTGTTAAAGGGAAAGAAAGCAAATACACAAAATGCAGTGCCATGCTTTTATTTTAACCCGGGTTTGGTTTTCATATCTCAAATGCTAGTGTGTCACAATATGGATAACTGACTTTTGCTTCTATACCATTTGCACTTTGCACGATTGCGTTGCTTTTTCTTTATTGGCTAAAAAAAAATTAATCATGTTTTCATAAAAAAAAATCTGCAAATCTCATTTTGTTCCTAGCTTCAATTGGGACAGTTATGTACTGTATAAAGAAAGGGGGGATTATTCAAAGCATTTGAAGATGGATTGAAAATTGGAGTAAAAATTATTGGAAAATGATCTCTACAAATCATACAGTTGGTTTACGAAAGATAAGCATACATGAATATGTACTTAGTTCAATCTTGATTTCAATACATTTTAAATACATGTAATAATTTTACCCTGGTTTGTTGTTATAGAACTGAGTAGTCAATAAATTGATCGTTTTTATATTTTTATCTTACTCTACTTGGCTGATTTAGAAAAAAAAGAGTTAATTTTAAAAAAAAATGGCTTCTTAACTTGGAAATTGTAAGCTTGGTTGGAATTTGGTTTAATGCTTTTATTTGACCGGTGTTTTGTTACGAAGATACATAAGGACACTAGAAAAAATAAAAAATGGAGTTTTCTACAGTTGAGTCAGAATACATTTTGGTCCATTACCTGACAAATAAAACTAATCTTAAGGGTCCGCACAAGGATGCTAATGTGCACAATAAGATATATGAACGATGTCTCTTTCATGAACTTTTTTCCTAGCTTTACAGCAGCATAATTTGAATATCTCAATACACACAATTGACACTTACATTCAATGAATGAGGTTACAATGATGGTATATCTGTATGTAACAAGTTTAATACATTTTGTAGAACTTCGAAGCACGATCTGATATTTCACGATGTAATGCTATATGAAAATAATAATTGATATGTATCATACAGTTCTATTTTTGATTACTCTCATTGGCAGCCCTATTGTGCTGCAGTGTTTGTTCCTTCTGTGGAAGTAAAATGGTATTATATCTCTTTTGACAGATAATTACAGTGCTGTTTTTTGAGGAAGCATTATTTTGAGTTTTTGAGTGTTTCCCTAATGAAAGATGGACGGTTGTTATAGGATCTGGTGACTGAGTTGATAGGGACTTTTAGATTTGCACGACGAGACCGTGGCCTGCTATGTGTGACATCCTTTTAACGTGATGTCCTTTTAAGGCACTGTCGGGCACTGTGCCTTAAAAGGACGTCACATTGCCTTAAAATGATGTCACACGTGGCAGTCCACATTCTCGTCGTGCGAATCTAAAAGTCCCTAATGTCGGAGGGATAGAGTGAAAGAGAAAGAGGAAGAGTAGAAGTGTCATGGCATACTGGTGTATTCACTCTATTCAAGGATTGGGGTATTGAATCCCAGCCCGGCACTAACATTCTTTGGCAAGACATCAATCCTCATTTTCCATCCTCCACCCAGATGTAAATTGGTACGGGCAATGCTTTGGGTAATGGTAATAACAGGGCCCACAGGAAGGGCACTATAAATACTCTATTATTTAAGACTCGATTAATTTATTTTAGAGAGAGATATAAGAGTGAAAGACAGACAGAGAACCGAAGAGAGAATGTATATACCTAGAATTGGGGTTTGGGCGATCATCAACGAAAGCATACTTTTTGTCCACCCAATATGAGGGAGAGAGGTATAGAATGCGGTGGACGGTGATAAACAGTGAATGGTAGAATGTTGAGTTTTTAACATAGATATTGTAATTAGAGCTCAAGGGGGGGGGGGGGTGCAAATTTTCAAATTTTCGAGGACCATTTTTCGGGAGCAAAAAAAAAAATTAAAAATTGGGCCCCCTCCCCTGAGAAATCCTGGATCCGCGCCGGGGTCAACATCCAACCCAAGACGAAAATCCCATTGAAACCAATTGAACACCAATTGAAATTTCAATTGGTTTCAATTGGTTCCAATTGGTAGGTTTTAACAGGTTTCAATGGGACTTTAATAGGACTTCAGATGGTTTCAATTGGTCCATGCAGATTGGCCCCATTGGCCCCATTGGCCTAGGCCCCATTAGACTTTAATGGGTCCCCAATTGGTTTCAATTGGTCCAGATTGGCCCCATTGGACAAATTGGACCCATTGGCCCCATTAGACTTTAATGGGTCCCCAATTGGTTTCAATTGGACCAATTGGCCTTAGTTTGGACTTCAATTGGTCCAATTGAAACCAATTGAAATTCCATTAAAGTCTAATAGGGCCAATTGAAATCAATAGAAATCAATAGGACCAATGCTAAATAGAAACCATGGCAATTAGACCAATATAGAAACCATTAGGACCAATAAGACCAATAAAAAACAATAGGGACCAATATATAGGACCAATAGAAACCAACAAATCTAGGCATCTCATGAATATTCATTATCACTTTACACGTGTCACAGAAAAATAAATTTATCATGATTTGTTAAAGGAAACCAAAACCTTCATACTAAGTTACTTTTATTGTAAAGTTTAAAAGATTTGAATAAAATCAGTGAAAATTTGAACAAAATCGGGCAAGGAATAAGAAAGTTAGCGTGTGTGTGTGTGTGTATTTGGTTTTTTACAGACGTGTATCAATCAGATATGATTATTTACGTCTGGGGACCGACCTTTAACGTCACCATCCGAAAGACGTGACTCAGTTTCGAACCTGCGTCCTCGGCTGAATCAGTTTGTAACTTCCACTGTTAGCTGGATTACAGGCGCACGCCACAACGCCTAGTTGTGGTTAGCGCTTTTTGAAATGACTAGTCACTAGAGGGCGGTATTCAATTTGACATCATCTGTGAACAACTCTCCATGCCTTTTGTACATAAAATTTCACAATTTTGTTGTTTTCTTCGGTATTTATTTGTGTTCTTGATCCGACTTCATAACATGTGAAGTAGAATATCATTATGCATTCTATATCTTGCTTTCAGGGGAGTACATTATCTCAATCACAAGAAAGAAGGAAAAACATGAAATTTGATGTTAAGGCATGCATGGAGAGTTGTCCACAGATGATGTCATCAAATTGAATACCGCCCTCTAGTGACTAGTAATTTCAAAAAGCTCTTACTTCCTTATTCCTTGCCCGATTTTGTTCAAATTTTCACTGATATTTTTCAAATATCTTAAACTTTACAATAAAAGTAACTTAGTATGAAGGTTTTGGTTTCCTTTTAGCAAATAGTATGACAATGCACATCAATTTTGTGATTTCTATTTTCCTTCGGCAATTATTAACCAATAGATTATTTTGTCTGATCATGTTACAATTACATTCACGTTTTAGCAATAGATATATTGATTATATGATTACTAACCAATAAACAACATGCATATTTAGTATATATGTGTACGACCTAGCTAGCCTGTGTCACTGTAAATGTAACTCTTGAATTCACTTCAAATGATCTATGTGATGAAGTTAATGCAAATGAGATTGGAATATACCTAATTGGTGGACAGTACAGTTGCCAATATCGATTATGAAGTATCAGTAATTTATCACGGGTTCTAATTCTAACTGGATCGATTTACCGATTGAATCCCCATTGAATGCCCCCATTGAATCCCAATTCAATACCAATAGGCAATTTTGAGTACATGGAAAGTGAAACAATGGGTACCCATTGGAACCAACCCATAGGAAAGAAATGAGCCTGCCGCATACTCCTGCGGCAAACTTGCCGCAGATCTGCAGCAGACCTGCCGCAGACAGTCATCTTTTTCACATGCAAATTAGTTTTGCCGCAGACTTGCCGCATACTCTTTCAGTATGATGAAGAGTCTGCGGCAGGTCTGCCGCAGACTTGCTGCAGACCTGCCGCATATCAGCTTTCAGCATGATGAAGAGTCTGTGGCAGGTCTGCCGCAGACTTGCCGCATACTCTTTCAGTATGATGAAGAGTCTGCGGCAGGTCTGCCGTAGACTTAATTGCTGCAGACCTGCCGCAGACTCTTCGTCATGAATATTCATATCTCATATAGACCTGCTGCAGACCTGCCGCATACTCTTTCATATCCAGTACGTGGCAATAAAGTATGCATGTAGAAGAACCAGTGATAAACTGATTGATACTTCATAATCGATATTGGCAATATCGATATTACCAATTAGGTAATACCAATATGTATGTAGGCCTAAATATTACCAATTAGGTATATTCTATTTTCAATTGTATTAACTTCATCACATTGATCATTTGAAGTGTATTCAAGAGTAACATTTAAAGTGACACAGGCTCGTACACATATATATATACTAAATATGTATATTGTTTCTTGGTTAGTAATCATAGTTTCTTGGTTAGTAATCAATATATCTATTGCTTAAACGTGAATGTAATTGTAACATGATCAGACAAAATAATCTATTGGTTAATAATGGCAAAAGGAAAATAGAAATCACAAAAATCATGTGCATTGT